AACTGAGATTTCTGCATAGACATTGTCATAAAGTGAACAACATTACTTTTGGTCATATTGATCAACATGTGGTTATTTTGACAGCTGTTTAAAAATAGAATAGTTTTCTCCTCTTTCCTTTGCAGTAAGAATATTCTAACATACAATAATAAGCTTATTTGTACATGTTTAATTCTGCGCCTGCTAGAATTACAATGTACTTAACTATTAAGTCATTATGTTGTTTATTACATTAATAAATGAGATATAAAGCTAGCATAGATAAATGCAAACCGCAAACAAAACAACAAAAAACAGCATTACCTTGTCATCTTCATGTAAAAATGAAGGGCCTTTAATATCTCCTCGAATAATTTTACCAAAAATAGTATCACCATCTTCGTCCGCCATTTTGGTAAAATAATACCTGATTTACTTGAACTACCGGGTACGCGTCACCTTTCCCAATATGACTCATCCGGTAGTGAAGTTAACCAATCACTGCAGACGTAATAATTCATACGGGTACTTATCATGTAATACGCTGTATCATTCACCGAACACGTTTAAACACATCATACGGGTTTACAGTGGTATTTTGAAGGTCTTATACATGTATTGCTGTACCAGGGGAAAAACACTTATATAAGCTTATATCAGATTTGAATATAATTGTGTTTTTCTTAAATGTCTTACCTAAATCGATTCCCCAACTCCCAACTAAATCGATTCCCTCCGTATGTTCCAAAGAAAATAATTTAATATTCTAATCTCTAGCAAACCTACCAAAGTTAATGATGAACAATGTCTTTTGTCCTCATATTCAGACATTTATCTATGATGTACAATTCTGGTAAATTCCAATTAACCATTGAAAACTTTATAAGTATATATAGTCATCAGATGTCTACTAGTTCATCGTCATTTGCTGCATTCCTTGCTTGGACGCCCTTTGATGCATTGCATCAATTTTTTTCTTATAATATCATGATATACCATTTGACGCGATACATGCAAAGGACATTTTGAAAAGTAAAGTCCATGAGAGTGTTTGTTTTGGCTCATTTACATATCGATACCTGATTAGTTGTTGATATTTGTAGAAAAATGAGTTGCGTTATAGGTGAAAAACAAATGTACATGCTTTCATATTTTTTATCATCTTATATTACTGACTACAGTAGAGACAATGTTTCACTACTGTCATGTCACATTACACTTACAAGTCTTGTAAGTCTTGTTTACTTTCCTTACCTGCAGGTAGGCATCAGTGAAAGCATATTTTTTTAAATCTTATATATGGCCCCTCTCTCATGGATAGTGCATACGATAAGTATAATTATGCAAAAAAAATGATTAACAAAGCATCCGGAATAATTTACAATAGTACTTAGTGTGAATAGAATAAAAACAGTGCGCAGGAATGATTTGGTAAGGTGTCTTTTATGAGCGCATTTTTTGCGCGGAGCTTCTCAATTGCTGCATTGCAGCAACATTTGTACTTGTATATAGTAATGGAAAGATAAGAAAGTTTGATATTGTATTTATTTATTGATCACATATCGTAGTTAAAGGCCTGTAATAAATAAAGTTGGCGGGAACATGCAGTTTTATCTATTAAAAACTCTTAGGAAAAAGGCACAATATTTTCATCGCCTAACGAACATCTTTATTAGTTTGTTTAACCCGCTGTTTTAAATAGTTTAAAGACAATGTTAGTGACCTAATACTTGAATATCAATGTCTTGGAAATTTAAAACAACTGCAACTGTGTTGTTTCCATGAAATTCTCTATAAATTGTGTTGTAAAATCATTGGAACTTATTTCATTCTCACGACTATTTCATCTCTTGTATTTCAAAGTACAGATGTATATCAAAACAATCTGGTGAAAAAAGAACATATGAGCCGCGCCATGACAAAACCAACATAGTGCATAGTGCATCCATGCAGTTTCTCTACTTGTTATAGACTTTGGTAAGCGAACAGCATGGATCCTGATCAGACTGCGCGGATGTGCAGGCTGGCCTGGATCCATGCTGGTCGCAAACCCACTATGTTGGTTATGTTGTGACGCGGCTCATATATTTATCTTAGGGTAACCCCTTTTCCACGAAATGTAAATGAATGAATGAATGAATGAATGAATGAATGAATGAATGAATTTTTGAACGAACGAACGAACGAACGTACGAACAAACGAACGAATGAATGAATAAAGAGACAATATTTATTATAAAAAAAAAATTATCAAAAGAAAAGGATCAAAATACAAAACAAATGTATGTTTAAAATCAAACAAAATCCACGAGTTTATAAGGTCATAAGATAACAACATAGTTATGCCCTTATGGATTATCAAGTTTGTCAAAATGTATGCTAACCTACAGAAGCGGATGCTGACATACATAAGCAAATGCTGACATACTGTAGCGGATGATGACATACAGAAGCAAATACTGAAATACAGAAGCGAATGCTTACATTAAGAAGTGGATGCTGGCATACAAAAGCGCATGCTGACATACAGAAGCAAGTGCTGACACACATAAGTAAATGCTAACATACAGTAGCAAATGCTTAAATAAGAAGAGAATGCTGACATTAAGTAGCGGATAATTGCATACATACAAATGAGAATGCTGACATGCAGTAGCGAATGCTGACATACAGTAGCAAGTGCTGACAAACAGAAGCAAATGCTGACATACAGTAGCAAGTGCTGACATACAGTAGCGGATGCTGACATACAATAGCAAGTGCTGACATACAGAAGCAAATGCTGGCATACCGTAGCGGATGCTGACATACAGAAGCGGATGCTGACATACAGTAGCGGATGCTGACATACAGAAGCAAATGCTGACATACGAAGCGGATGCAGACATACTGTAGCAGTATTACAGTTTCACTGAATTATATGTTTAATGACGGTCCATTAGCCCGTTAATGTGTCACCGGCATCTCAGTTTATGATAACATTAAGATTAATAACACCCTACGACAAAGGCACAAAAAGCTGTCTTCAATTTTCAATTTCAATTTTAAACTGCATTTTCAATTTATTTATTCTCAGATCATGCAAACATGACAACATGTCGTAATAATACAATTACATGAACATAATAAATGAGGCTTCAGAATCAGACAGTATCCAAATAACATGATAAATTATATAAATTGTTAACATAAATATTGCGGGAGAGTCAGTATTACAACAAATACTTTAATAGTTTATATATTCCCCTCGTTTCATGCATGTCGCAGAGAAGAGACCAGACATCGCAGAAGATTTGGAGCTTGGTTGATTCATTACAAAGGGCACATTGACTGGTTAAGACCAGAGCGTTGTTGTTGTTCATATAGGGTAGGCCCTGGAGACTAAACCACTTAACAAATATGTCAACTATATATAAGATATAGCTGTCGAGTACGGACCCAGGACATGCTACCAGTCATTTGAATGAAGGGCTAATGTTGAAGCACATAGTGCCCAATGTACGGCCGCCAATGAGAATGTACAGTCACCCGAGACAAAATGAAAAGGAGGTAGCTCTAAAATGGGCTTTTAACCTGTCACTCTCTATGCTAGGGGTTCACGCACACTACACACTTTCCCCGTCGTCCCTGCCTCCTTTGTAGGGCCACTTCCATCAGCTTTAGTCAGAATATCGCAACTGAGTCGTAGGTTGCTGTAGAAGCTCGACTCTCCAGCGACGAAGAGGATAGTTTGGTCTCAAGGACCTACTCTATATGTATAACAACAACGCTCTAGTCTGAACCAGTCAACGTGCCCTCTGTGATGAATCAACCTAGGTCCAAATCTTCTGCAATGTCCGAGGCATTCTCTGCGACGTGCATGTATCGAGGGGAAGAGATAAGCAACCAATTTCTCCGCAAGTAACCGACGACTTACTCTTTCTGAATCAGCGGTGAAAGATAATTGACCAACAGACTTCGACGATTAATTGTCACGGGAAAGTTCGGCTCGCCCGAGGATCGAACTAGCGAACCTCGGAATTACGAATCATTGTGCCCTTATTGAGTTAAACGGGCGGACCTAATTTGGTAGGATAGAATACATAAAAGGTCGACCTTGATATGACTGCTATTGATTTAATACTGCGATATTTCCAAAGAACAAAAGTAAACGTACACACTAGCAAACATTTAATTTTACAAATCATATTTCATATTTTGTAGAATCAAACCATTTTACTAACAGTAATTATCATGAATACACGCTTTTCAAATTCAAACATGACATACTAGTACTCAAAAATTAATATTGTTTTATGTTGTTGTTTTTTTAGGTTCTGCTTCTGTTCTGGTGTTACCTGTTTCATTGTTTTGTCTGTTTTAACTCTGATTTTAATACATTTCTAGTGTAACTCTGGTACATGATGATTAAGGGAGTGTAAAATTGACATATTTTTATAATCTAAACTTATCTAAAATCCGAGGAAACATATTTTACTGCGTTAACGACACAAAATTATTATAAAGTCAACACTTTCGCCGGTTAATAGAGGGGATTTCAATGAAAGAGAACGAGAGCGAATATAAGATGTTTAAATTATAGTACTGCATATCCTGTTGAAATTTTCACAATCTTATCTACATACAAGATGTTTAACTGAATTACAAGTTCTCGGAAATACTAAACAATTACGTTCTATTTATAATAATTCCAGGAACTTTTTAGATACATAGGCCTACTGTAAATTCTCGTAAATACTCGTTCAAGGAGTCATGAAATGTCACGTATGCCTTACATGTTTCACATTTATAATTGTCTTGAAAGAAGGAGAGAAAAAAAAAGAAAGAGAAAAATCCCACACAATTAAATTGTTCTTTATGACTGTTGTGCAATCTATTAGGTAGTCGGAAGATTATAAATGTAACTTTTCACTAAAACAGCTAGTAATTCACCCAACTACAATAGTTAGTTAACGCGTGAGCTTTTACATGAAAAAAAAATATATTGGCATTTAACAAAATACATATATCAAGAACAGATGTTCATAATTTCATTATTTATTGATCACATAATGATAGGGTATATAGAAGTTGTACATTTTTACTAGTATTTATTTATTCAGTTTATTATTCTTTTTATAAATTAAGGTATTCGCCAACATTTTTTTTTCCGAGTCAAATACTTCCGAAATACGGAAAGTACCGATATTGACCAAGTTTTCATGCGCTCACTGTGAATTTGATACAATAAATGGAATAAATGCGTTCATTTTTTTATCAAAATTAATAAATTATGAATGAAAAATGAAATTAAACAAAAATATCAGCTCGTATCCAAGTAGTCTATGATGACTTGTATTAATGACTACTTTAACAAAAAATTGTTTGTTATCTATTATCCCGGTGGCCATGACATTTTTCTCCCAGCAAGCACGTGTAAATGAAGATGAAAAACATGTTGTCCACCGTCGCTCCCGTCGTTCACGACAATTCTGTAACCGTTAGTAGCACCTTGGTCCTTAGCAACCTTTGTCGCTACCCACATCATGTGTCCAAGTAACTGCAAATATAGATACTTTATACAAGCAATCACATACATCAAACGGCAAACCTCGTCATTTTCCGTAAAATGCATTTTGCTCTGAACATATTGAACTTACTTTTTCTGCTATAAGATATGGCTAGTGGCGAACTACATATATTCACATTTCTCGTGTCATATAACACCAATAAGACAATCTTGTCAAGTAACCGCTTTCAAAATTATAACATGTACTAATAAACTATGGAAAGTTGAAAATACCACCCGAATTCAAACACGCTATTGATGAATGTTCTAGTTACCTCCCCTTCGTTTTTCTTTCACAAATGATTAATTAGTCTGGTAGCATAAAGGAGGCATGGGCATGGGTAAATCTTTTTTATTTACAACGTGGCTGCGCGATGGCTATTACTTGCGTACACGGTGTGAAATAGGTGGCCACGCGATAGTTACTGCGTGATCACGCGACATGCATTACGTGGCCACCCGATAGGTATATTGTTAGCGCGTAAATGTAATACATATCGCGTCAAACGGCAGCGCGTTGTCGGACTTTCGTCTCGTCGTCCTGTCTCTAACGATGCGCGCCAAACGGCGCGTTGTCTTGCCACGTGTCATGGCGATGTCAAATTGTCGCTCGGCTCAAATGTATGGATTTGCTATTGGTATATATATAAGCTAAGCGACAGGGCGACAACGTGCCGTTTGACGCGTTTCGCTAGCGACAAGACGAAAAGACGATAACGATATAGGTTGTGTTGTCGCTATCGACAACGCGCAAAGTCTTCCAAATTAGCCACCATACAAATCAGCCACCATAGTAATGCAAATAAAGTCCCTTATACTAAAATTACACCAATTAAAGAAAAGCAACAGTTTTTCAGTTTTGACAGCTAAAAACGGACATTTATATCAACTCGATAACAATGCTTCCTTGGCAAGATCTTTGAAACATTTTTTCATGGTACATGCATAACACCTTGTTTAGAAGTACAAAACAAACATACCTCTTTCTGTGTTTCGTTTATGCTATCAATCGTCTTGATTTCTTGCTTGGATATGACGAGGAAATGTATTGGGGCTTGAGGGTGTATATCCTTCAGGGCTATACACTGAAATTATAAAACACATATAGGATCTGACGTGAGTTGTCACCTGAGATACACTGTTATCTTTTTTTTCTTAAGAAAAATGTTTAAAGGCGAGCCTCTGGCGAGTTTACAAATATTTTTTCTAGCAAGGTTCATATCAAATGACAACACATATTAGACATGACTAAATGACTACATCTTTTAAAAAAAACTTCATTTTCATGAAAGCATTATTCTTTTGGACTCGAAAAAATAAATACAATACTGATTTGATATGGATTCTTTTTACCCGCCTAAGAAATGAAAACGAGACTGAACCGGTATAATTTGATCCATGAATGATTTCTATTTGCAAACGCTTGCAACTTATTGGTTACATTCTATTAGGTGTGAAATATTTAAGGTATATTTTGCATTTATTAACTTTGTTGTAAATTCGCTTAAAATGATGAAATACAATAAAACTTGGCGATAATTATTAGCTATTTGGCATAACACGTGACAAGAGTTTGGTATATATAACAGTGACTGTTTCAAATAATATATTAAATAACAATAGTTCTTGGTACATTGGGTAAACAACGCCAATAATATGACATGACAGCTGTTTAATTATGCAAAATGATTAGTATTGTTTTGTTGTCTCTTTTTTGCAGTATGAATACTCGAACATACAACAATAAGCTTATTTGTACATGTTTAGTTCTGCGCCTGCTCTAATTACAACGTACTTAACTATTAAGTCGTTATGTTGTTTATTACATTTATAAATGAGATTTAAAGCTAACATAAATTATAAATGCAAAACGCAAACAAAACAACAATAATCAGAACTACCTTGTCATCTTCATGTAAAAATGGAGGGCCTTTAATATCTCCTCGAATTATTTTACCAAAAATCGTATCACCATCTTCGTCCGCCATTTTGATAAAAAAATACCTGATTTACTTGAACTACCGGGTACGCGTCACCTTTCCCAAAATGACTCATCCGGTAGTGAAGTTAACCAATCACTGCAGACGTAATAATTCATCCGGGTATTTATCATGTAATATGCTGTATCATTCACCGAACACGTTTAAACACAACATACGGGTTTACAGTGGTATTTTGAAGGTCTTATACATGTTTTGTTGTACCAGGAAAACACTTATATAAACCTATATCAGGTTCGAATACAATTATTTTCTCCTTCAATGTTTTACTGAAATCGATTCCCCCGACTTCCAACTGTTCGGGTGCAACCGGTGGCTTGACAATCATTTACAATTGCCCACTTACTCTATCCTACTATAATATTTGTAAACGTCAAGTTGTTGCGACATTACATCGAGATAAAGGCGGGGAGGGGAGGGGTCAAACAAATAATTATTCCATCATTAAAACGACGATCCCAAATTAATCAAATTGATTTGTCACTGTTAATGAGAGACATTTAATAAAAATATGGTACTTAATTCCCTTACTGATACCGAATATTAAAAAAGATTTATACATATAAATTGTATGACTCGGTACACGTGACTGTCAAGGATCGCTTGAATAAAAAAATAGTTGATAAGAGTGGGGAAAAGTCTAGAAGTCTGTTCTCTGATGATGTTTGAGTAATTTATGTCTGACATTTGCACTAAACGAAATATATTTAATACTCTCATAAACAAACTGAAACCGGAACTTGAGAGAAAAAGTACCAAAAAAAAAATAAATAAGCACTCGATGGTTGATAGATTTATATAGTTCCATTTACCTACTTCTTTTACCAGGAAATGTATATTTGTATATACAACATCCCATAGCTGAGATATATGAATAACTCAACTATGGGATACGTGGATGTTTAATGAAATATTCATGTATAGTGTAAAATGTTTCTGTTTTAATTTACGAATCATTCGTGTTTTACCATGTGCAAACAGCTAAATTAAATGAAACTATACAAACGAAAATAAAATAATTGTCACCGTTTCACGAATGGTTTACAACATGACAATCATGTTACAATTTTGATATTTTAGTCTGGATATAACAATCATGCTTTAACGCCCATAAAGCCTGCATTATGCTTCTTTAGCTATGTTCAAAATCTTTTCATTCATTTTATTTGTTTATTCATTTATTTATTATGCTGTTGCGATTTTCAAAATTGATTAATTGACCATATAGCAGAGCCGAGCCATTTTTTTTTGCTTCTTTGCGTTTTATTAATAAGTACAGTTATAGTGATTTATTACTTTTGTATGGAAGTCAAAATACTACTTTGTTGGCATTTTGCTATAAATTATTTCATATTCAGCGCTATTTTCCTCAGATGACTAGCACCTCACATGTTATAAATCCACTATTACAAAAGCAAAACACATGTTTGCCCTACTCACGGGACAGCGTAAGGTAAAGTAGGGGAAAATAGCTGAGTCTGCTGCCACACTGCCGGTTTTATTTTGCGCCAAAATACCGACTTGTAGTGCGGAGACAATTATTCGGTGCTATCTGAATTTCTTCTCAGAAAGGGCCTCCTCCAAATGTTTTGACAACCAAAATAAGTTAATGTACACGCTATTCCCCGTGGATAGGAAAGAGGTTACAATCGAATGATGCCTTATCGTGTCCTAGACAGATCACATTATCCATCAAACAATAAAACTCATAAAGGTTATAATCTTATTTAAAATTATCACTTTATGACACCACATGCAAGGACATTCTAAAACAACTAATGAATAGTTTTCTGAAAACATTCATATACAAGGTGAAACAAAAAGTTAAATAAAGAAAAACATCAAAACCAAAAAAAAAGTCAATTAAAAAAATGACTGTAATAGAGAAGAAAAAAATGTCAACATAACATGGGTCTTTCTATATATCTTTAATACAAATGCTTGGTAATGCATGATAGTCACAATTAGAAATGCTGTCTCATAATGTGAATTTGGTGGTTTTTATTTCAATGTCAACGTCTTTCATCACTGGACTGTTTAAACATGTTTATATAAATCCAGGTAGATACAAAAGTATGTCAAATCAATGTCGCTCACGCGCAATGCATGAACAAGTTTCTCTTCCTGTTTTGGAAAGTACATATACATAATAGATAGGTGATATTGAGTCAGGACTTAAAATACTATGTAAGCATTGCATTTAATTATATTAATCCATCGATATTTCATATTTTAGTCTGAAATTTAATAAAGATATTGCGAAAGCATTTCATAATTATATTGCTCCATGACAATTTCTTTTTTGTCATTTTTTTTTAAATCAAATTTTGCTATTTGATGCATAATTGTTTACATTATTTTTTTCTGTGCCAATTTTTTGCGTCAAAGGGATTCTGTTGATTTGCTATAGATTTGCTATTCTTGCATCTCAGACAGGATTATCTACCGTTTACACCTGTGCTAGAAAACTCTGTCACCCCCATGTAAGACAAGTCGCGTGCTTTAACTGACGTCATTGACGCGCGCCTTTTATGAATGAATCGCGTTCTTAGGATGACGTCATTTTTCCGTTATAAATGAAGTTGTATGTTCATACGCTACTATAAGAAAAAAGTGCGTAATGAGAATATGAGTTTTCATAATTTCTGTTCCGAAAATAATTGACATGTAATATGCAAGAAAAAGAATCAAACACCGGCAGTTGGTACAGGCGGGAATATCTAGCTCTCGGGTAACTGTTTAGCGGAAACTCGGCAGAGCCTCGTTACCGCTGTAAACAGTTACCCTCGAGCTAGATATTCCGGTCTGTACCGGCAGCCGGTGTAAGATTCTTATAACATCACTCGTCAGTGAGGTGTGGTGCATTGGTATATATGTAGTTGTCGGACAACGGATCTGGAGGTCTCTGGTTCGATTCCTTACCAACACCATGTTGTGACTTTTTAATTAACTTGCAAGGATTAATTTGAAATCGTTTTACTACACATGGTTTTAGAAAACCTTTTAATGAAGTGGTTTTCATACATATTTATATTTTAATTCGTTACAGTATCTTTCCACGGTTCTCTTTGCGACATTATGCAATCGTATTATGCATAAGCGCATACACGCTATAAAGGCAGTGTTATTAAATATTACACTGATAGTATACACAACAAAAAGGTTTGCAATAATTTTAAGAAAATAGTAATTTTAGAATTAGAATAAAAAAAGAAAAAAAAACATGCTGACATAGGTTTCGAACCTACCAATTTACGTGTTCCACGTGTACTGTACTGCAAGTGATACCACTTTAGCAACTGCGCTAATATGGATCTTTAATTTACATTATTTTGACATAATTTGTATATTTATATTCATAACGATTTACAAGTAGATCGTAAGTTTACGGAATATACCGACTACAGGGTCAGTTGAAAAATTGCAAGGCCAATGTTGTTGGACAATATCTTTTTTGCTTATTATTTTAATTATTATTTATAATTAATATGAACATTTGATAAACTATAAATTATCCTACCGCGCTTTTTTATGTAACAAGAAATACAAGGTAGCTCACTGCTTTCCGACCGAAATTTGACAACATCTTAGATCTTGATGATTATTAATATGCAAACATGTAGATATGTAACCTTTGCAGCATTATTTTGCAAAGAAAGAGGTTAGTACGACGCCAAAGCGTCACTTTCGGCGACGGGAGAATTTTCATTGTTTAGTAGACGTATGCCTTTTTATTAATGTCTTTCTTACTTTAAATCCCTCCCCCATATTGACGTACAAATCGGTGTAATTTGCTATACTTCTTTAAGCACACAGTGAAATCGTGAAGGACATATTTCTGCAATTAAATATAGGGTTTTAGAAACATTACATTATGGCGACTTTGTCTCCAACTAAGACCGGTTGCACTTGATTTATGTCCAAGTGAATGGGTGGATGGGTGCGATATATCAAATTTTGATAGAATGTCTTTGCCGCCCCTGGATTTAGGTTTCAACTTTGTCAAAGATATAGAAGATATTTATAAACTGGTGATGTCAATATATCAAGTTTTCTACTAATTTATTTAAACCTTCATACGTGATGTTCATTTCACAATACAACATATATTTGAATCAATATTATGCGTTTTAATTTGCATTTATTTGAATGAATTTCAATGCACAAAATATACCTTGTTCAAACACAGTTTGTTGCAAACTTTGTACTTCAAACATTTCTTGATATGTCATTCATATAACCCAACTCTACTTTTTTCATCATTTCATATGAACTTCTGTAAATTAATTATCGTAGCAAGTGACCGCTATTTTGTAGTAGACTACTGAGTGCAACTGATAATCATTATTAAACAAAAATAACTGTTTTGACTTTATTCAAATTTGATTTAGCCACAATCCTTTTTTATAGGTAATGTTGAGGTATATTTTTGCCATAATAACATATTCTACCTATTCTTTATACGATTTCATGATTTATAGACTGTACAAATGATGGATTTCGTGAATTTCGGGAAATGATATGAGATACCTTCGTTCAACATAAAAAATTGAAACCCACGCTGCATTCCATTAAGAAATTGTATCATAGTTTGGCGAAAATGTGTCCGAGTTAAGCAGTATACCCATAAATGCATATAGTATGTTTAACTTGGCTGTAAGTATTAATTATCTGCACTCAATAGTTACCGCACTGTCGGTCGGCGAGAAAATAGAGCGCTGTACTTGTTTTGTAGGGTTTACTTATTGTGACGACATGGTAAAGGATAACGATAGATGCTCGTACATTGAATCGTTTATTCTGGGATTTAATATTTTGTCGACAGGGAAAGTGTTTTAATTTTTGCCTATGATACAAAAGAGAAAGAACATCACACAAATTAGATAGAATTAGCCCCGTGTGTCGATCCTGTCGCGTCGAGTATTCTGCTTATTTTGATTTCATTAATGTTTAGTGTATCATATCGATTCCGTCCTCCCTCCCTTCCTTCCTTCCTCTCTCCCTCCCTCCCTGCCTCCCTTCCTTCCTTCTTTCCTTCAATCCTTCCTTCCTTCTTTCTTCCTTCCTTCCTTCCTTCCTTCTTTCTTTCCTTCCTTCCTTCCTTCTTTCCTTTCTTCTTCTTTCCTTCCTTCCTTTCTTCCTTCCTTCTTTCCTTCAATCCTTCCGTCCTTCCTTCCTTAATAAATAGCTTGACACATAGCTAAATAATGCCACACAACTAAATCATACCATATAGCTAAATCATACTTGAACAAGGTATGTATATACGTTCAGGAAATCGTTATAAAGCTAGCCTCCTAGTTTGAATAAGTTTAAACTCGAGCTTAAGAATTTAAGACATGTCAGGTACACAGCTTCCGAGTTTGTGAAAATGTTATAATATGACCCAAAGAGTTCATGAACATGTTACCCTGTGAGTTTACAAGTTAACTAAATGTCATAGAGTGTGCTTCTGAAGTATCATTATGCAAGCCTCGGAGTTTGAATAATGCAATACACCTGAGTCCTGGAAAATGTTTTAATGGGAGCTTACGATATAAGAAATATACTTTTAAGTAAGCATCCGAGGTCAAGAAAAAATATACATGTAATTCGAGCATTTATGTTGGTTTAAGTCGCCACTTAGGCCCCTAATATCAGAACGAGTAAGCAGCAGAATGAAATTGAAAACAAAAATCGACAAAATACACATTTTTTAAAAGAATGCGTTAATTAGTACCAATTTATGTTGAATTGTTATTTCAAGTTTTATAGCATTTCCCACCTTTCTGTTTTTAAGGTGCTTGAGAACTACCATATGTGAAATTTCAAATACGTTCAGGTCCAGGCAGTATAAATGATGCACCAGATAACCCTGTCACCTGTATTGAACAGTCCGGCCAGGCTCTATAACTTCAATATTTATCCCCCCCACCCCCCCACCCCCCCCCCCGAAAAAAAACTGATAAAGGACAGGTCCAAAAATTGAAAATTTGACAGGTCATTTAAGTCTGATTAGAATTCTACATTCATTATATCTCAATATTTTAGTCATAAATAACCAAAATATACAAAATTCACATAAAATAAACACAGTGTTATTTTGTAATGCAAAAAGAAAGAGAGAGATCAGACGAAGTAAACTTTGCACCACGAAAATGCAGTTTATAATTATGCTTTATCATATCGTACACGGAAGTTTACACTTTAAATTTGCTCGTTTGCTTTCATTTTCATTTAAAAAAAATAAAAAAGAGGTTTTGTTACAGTTATGTATGCGATATTGTCCGCAAACTTTCACCTTGATTTAACTTTTCTTGGTGTTTTCTCTTAATACTTGGACACAACAATCATTGGAACAATACCTTCACATCGACTTGTCTAACCTTGATCTTAATTCATAAATGACCTCGCATTCAAGGTTAAATTTGCATGTTTTTTTTTTTGCTGATTTTGGTTATTATATCTTGTTATTTTTAAATCAACTGTCTTTAAACTTGAACATAAAACACATTTTAGGAAAGACCTTCAAGTTAACAATACAGACAATGACCTTCAGTCATAAATGACCACCTTCTAAAAATGTTGAACTGTCCTTGACCTTGAGCTATAAATGACCTTGACCATCAAGGCTAAAAGATTGAATTTTGGTTAAGTTGTCATAATTTTGTTATTTATGTATACGGATTTAATTCATACTCGGACAAAACAACACTTGTGACCAAACAGACATGTGGAATAATTTAGATATGACCTTATGAATTTTGATTATATTTTCTTAACTGTGTCATTTATTTATGAAAAGGATGCATACGTGGACAAAACAAGTGCGACTTAAAACAGACCTACTAAAGTTAAAAAAAAACTTAATTTTTTTCTTTAATTTTCTTTTCTAGGATATGTTTAAACTGCTTTACTGTTTGATTCAAGAAAAGGGAAAAAAGTCGAGCGTTGTCCCTGCCCTGTGGTGGCTCTTGTTATAGAACAAAATTTTCTTTAAACACAAAAGATATCACCCATTAAACAGAAATTTATCACTTGTTTTGTGCCAGACGAGACATAACAAAAAAGGATAACTAAAAATGTCTAAAGATGAATGTGCAAACTACCGGTAAAACGTGACTTCCAAGGACACCGTGTCATTTTACAGAACATGCTTTGATGTGTTAGTATTTATTTACTAGTGTCTTATTTTAAATCTACATTTACAGTTACACAAACAAAAACACTCATTGTCAGTTTTTATTTGCAATCTATACTCGTATGAGAAAATTATGTCGCTGTTACAATTTTGCACAAAATAATGCATTTTTACATATCAGGTCACAGTGACCTCGTCGGCTATAAATTGATAGTGAAGACGAAAGAATGAAGTCGATGAGAGATACCTGAATATAATCATTTAGCTGAAGAAGAATTAAGCATGGATATAGATATGAAATCAGTATTAAATGGCTGAAATGAATGTGTGACAATGACAAGGTCAGATCTATTCAAAGGACAGAGAAGTTATATGAGAGATAAAGACGTTTTCGGCACGTAGAGCAATTTATAAACAAATACAAAGAAAGGAAATTTAAACTAAAGAAGAGAATTTTCTTAAACTGTCCTTATTTAAGGCATCTATGATTAAAAACAAATTGATTATAACAAATTGGGGTCACTATCATATTTTCTGTGTTACCTGTGTTATACACTTTTAGGTCTCATTTAGGAGTAGATAAAAATCAAAAGCAATCATGTCGATACATTATTTTTATATTTTCAGTTATTATGCAACGTTTAAACACATTATGCTTCAATGAGTAAACATATAAACATACTGATTTTTATTCTTGGGTGTTGCTTGTCGCAGTTTTAAGTTACCTGCTCCTGCAAAATGACAACAACAAAAAAAACAACAACAAAAAAATCCCCCCCCCCAAAAAAAAAAAAAACAACAACAACAACAACAACACACGCACGCACACACACGCACGCACACAGAGCACAAAACACACAAAAAACACGGTAATTTAACGTTTTGTAAACATTTTGCTTTAAATGAAATAAAAATATAAAAAATAACAATATTGCTGAAAGAATTTGCAAACATTGCATTGTAAGAATCTTCAACAAGTAAAATATAATAAATTATTTCTCGAACACTCATAATTATGGCTATTTGTTTCAGTTACACAGGTGTGGGAAGACATCATATGTTCCCCCTGGCTATTTGAGGCACAAACTGGCAAGTGAATAGTAAACTTTCGCCAGCTAGCTGGATAGCTTTCTCATTTGAAGAAGTTCAAATACCCGGGGGTGGGGGATTGTCATCAAGAAAGTATCGGGGCCAGTATGTATACCCACCCGGCCATATACGCTTTATCATAAATTAAACTACAAACTGTAATAAAGTTCTGATAATGGTTATTATGGCAGTTTATAACTATTACAGACCTGCTTTCAAGTGCATAACTGATAACTTTCCTTCACAAATCATGATTTAAAAGCCTTTTTAAAAATGCATACGTCTGCATTTCACACAAAAGGGTATAAATCTAAGGGGATTTTCAAAATTGAATAAATGTATTTGTTGTACTTTCAAATAAATGAACACTTGACATTGAGCAGTTTTTACAATGTTTGATTTTTCCTGATTTATTAGAGATAGCTTGCACTCGAATGTAGCTGTCTATGTACACAAGTAATAAACAGAGATTATATATTGCACTAGAGTTGAATATTACACGCATACACATAACACATGTAAATAGTGTGCGTAAACACCAGTTAAATAGTACTATCAATAATTCACGATAATGCACACAAGTTAGATTTTGCACGCACACACAAGAATATTTTACGAATTAATCACACACACATTGTTGAGGTGCCTCTCGCCACTTATTGTTTCGATTTCCACCAGGAACTTTCAATTCGTTCATGTTCGAAAGTTATCCAGGTACATGTAGCCTACTCAGGCCCTAATGCATGAAATAATGCACGAAAGACCATAACAATGTGTATGACGCAATAAAAAAATGAAATCAACAACAAAAATATTCGACCAAAAACAAATTCAATTAAACATCGCCTCGACCAAATCAATTTCGTTTAAACATCGTGTCTATCCGGATAAACATCATAATCATAGTATTCATACGAATAACAAGGTCTAAGACTCACAGTCAGTAAGATATTTAAGGAAAAGAAATAAAAGCACTTTTAAGCAGCAACAGTACGTCGTTTCTCTCCCAGTCTAAGCTGTTTTATTCATTTTTCCTTTTTAGTCTCTAATCATTAATCATTATAAAGAAAATTAACTAAAAATTCGATTTTTACTCATTGTAAATATTTATTTCAGACCTCTGAAAATGGTTGACAAAGCAAAGAATGCTCCCTACGTGTGTACTTTAAGTGAAGATCTTATAAAAGCAGCTAGAGAAGAGTTGAACGAAATTCCAGAAAGACGAGCTGAAGATATAGACACGCTGAGGAAAAAGATACAAAAACTTCCAAGTATGTTTGTCTTATCCGAAATGAAAGATGAGAAAGATCGATAATTTTCTGTTTAAGGGGCTGCCTTGAGGGTTTTTGTCTTTAATGAACAGATTGTGTACTATTTCATGTTGGTCTTGGTAAAAAAAAACTGCATAATTTAAGATCATTTGCTGAATCCGTTTTTCCAGAATTATCATTCTAATTGTGCAAATTGTCCAAAAATTGAATGCAATCAAACTTGCACAAGAAAAATAAGTTGTTTTTTAGATTTAATTCCGAGTATATTTCTTAATAATCTTTGCATTTTACCCCGTTTTAAGAGCTTTAGATGATCTATGTTAGAATTTTAAATTTTGTATAATAACAATGTACGATCTTGGACCTCATTGGAGCGGATTCAATAATACCGGTGTTTTTCTGACCTCTTTATTTTCACATCGTATAGCTTCAGGCAAGGCTGTACATCTTGATTTCTCTAAAATTGATACTGGACTGAGCTGGATATGTGCATTTAAGGATTTCATCAGGTAAATAGTGTTAAAATCAAACATGAGAACTTCATGCACAATACATTAATAAATTACAGGTCTTAACATTTGCACGGATGATGCGTATTTGCTTAAATTTCTGCGAGCAACGGCATTTGACCAGGACACAGCCTATACTTTGATACTGAAGTACTTTGAAATGAAAGCTGACGCGAAAAACAAGCAAATGTTTACCGATTTAAGGTCGGCAGCAGTGAAACATGTCGTAGAATCTGGTATAATCGGAGTACTTCCGCACAGAGACAAATACGGGAGAAAAGTGGTCGTCATCAGACCAGGTTTGAATAAGTTTTTTTACTTATTTTTTTTTTATTTAAAAATTTACAAAAAAATGTTTAACTCATAAATGTGCTTAATTCTGGCGAACTTAAATATTAAGTCTTCTTTTTTACCACGGCTTTAAGGCGGAATTAAAGCCGTGCTTTACATTAGTGTAAATGTTGCTCAAGGACAGATTTCAATTATGTTTTTTTTCTCAGTTTTTTTATTAATTATTTTGTACAGTATTCTACAAATAGTGTTATCATTAAGGTTGTCTGTGAGCTAGTTCGTTTTGGCTTGGGTCTCCAACGATGTTTAAAAAAATACTTTATGTTAATCAAGTTTGTTGTTATTTTTAGATGAGCGGAGGGAAGGGCGAGGACTGTCTGAAAGCAAACTCACGGTTCAATCAAATCAATATAATGATCGTCTCCCTTATTTATTAAATAATTGTTGAATTTTGCTGAACATCTACTTACAAAAACAACAACAACAAAATCTTTAACATTGTTATCAATTAATTGACAATGATGTGGCTTCAAAAGAATAACGTCAGTTTTACTAATTATTTTTTTCAAAAATTCATATTATAAAATTGTAAAATCATTATCAATAAAACAGGTTTATTCCATTTAAATAAAAATACACATTCCTTGCTTAGTGATCATGTCACAAAAATTGATATATTTGTCTTGCTGTAACAGGTACATGGGACACAAGTACAATTACTTTGGCAGACATCTTTAAAACATCCTTCATGTTGCTGATAAAAATTGCCGAGGTAAACATCTACAATAAAAATAAATGAATGAATTAATAAATAAATAAGATTCTGTATAGTATTTTACAATGATTATGGTATTTTGTTTTGTATATGAAAATCTCTGTAGTGCTAGAATTCTGTTTTGTATACTAAAAATTCTGTAGTATTCTGTTTTGTATACTAATATTTCTGTAGTATTCTGTTTTGTATACTAACATATCTATAGTATTCTCTTTTGTATACTAACATTTCTGTAGTGTTTTGTTTTGTATACTTACATTTCTGTAGTATTCTGTTTTGTATACTAACATTTCTGTAGTGTTCTTTTTTGTATACTTACATTTCTGTAGGGTTCTGTTTTGTATACTAATATTTCTGTAATATTCTTTTTGTATACTTACATTTCTGTAGTGTTCTGTTTTGTATACTAACATTTCTGTAGTATTCTATTTTGTATACTAACATTTCTGTAGCATTCTGTTTTGTATACTTACATTTCTGTAGTATTCTGTTTTGTATACTAACATATCTGCAGTCTTCTCTTTTGTATCCTAACATTTCTATAGTGTTATGTTTCGTATACTTACATTGCTGTAGTGTTCTTTTTTGTATACTAATATTTCTGTAGTGGTCTGTTTTGTATACTAACATTTCTGTAGTGTTTTGTTTTGTATACTAACAATTATGTAGTGTTCTATTTTTTCTACTTACATTTCAGTTGTGTTCTGTTTTTTCTACTTAGATTTCAGTAGTGTTCTGTTTAGTATACTAACATTTATGTAGTGTTCTGATTTTTCTACTTACATTTCTGTAGTGTTGTTTTGTATACTAACATTTCTGTAGTATTCTGTTTTGTATACTTACATTTCTGTAGCATCTTGTTTTGTATACTTACATTTCTGCATTGTGTTCTGTTTTGTATTCTAATATTTCTGTATAGTAGTGTTCTGTTTTGTATACCTACATTTATGTAGTGTTCTGTTTTGTAAACTTACATTTCTGTAAGGTTCTATTTTGTATACAAACATTTCAGTGGTATTCTTTTCTTTGTATACTAACATTTCTGTAGACTTCTGTTTTTATACTTTCATTTTTGTAGGTAGTGTTTTATTTTGTAAACTAACATTTCTGTAAGGTTCTGTTTTGTATACAAAAAAATGTACTGATATTTCTGTTGTGTTTATTTCAAGTACTAATATTTCAATAGTATTTTGTTTTGTATACTAACATTCCTGTAGTGATTTGTTTTGTATACTTACATTTCTGTAGTGTTCTGTTCTGCATACTAACATTTCAGTAGTGTTTTGTTTTCTATACCAACATTTCTGTAGTATTTTGTTTTGTATACTTAAATTTCTGTAGTATTCTGTTTTGTATACTTACATTTCTGTACTATTTTGTTTTGTATACTTACATTTCTTTAGTATTTTATTTTGTATACTAACATTTCTGTAGTGCTTTGTTTTGTATACTTACATTTCTGTAGTGTTTGGTTTTGTATACTAGCATTTCTGTAGTGTTTGGTTTTGTATACTAGCATTTCTGTAGTATTTTGTTTTGTATACTTACATTTCTGTAGTGTTTTATTTTGTATACTAGCATTTCTGTAGTGTTTGGTTTTGTATACTAGCATTTCTGTAGTATTTTGTTTTGTATACTTACATTTCTGTAGTGTTTTATTTTGTATACTAACATTTCTGTAGTGCTTTGTTTTGTATACTAGCATTTCTGTAGTATTCTGCTTTGTGTTATATTCTGCCATGTGCATCTGAACATTTCTGTAGATTTTTTTCTTATTCATGTTTGTTGAAGTACAGGTATTTTGTTTTGTATTTGATAATTTCAGTAGAATTTTGTTTTGTATTTAACCATTTTTGTATTACAAGTTGGTATTCAGTTTTATATTTTCTACACAGGATGAGCAGACACAGATAAAAGGTTGTGTAGTCTTGTACGATATGAACGGCATGGGGTTTGGACATCTGACCCATGTTTCACCATTCTACGCCAAGCGAAGTGCTATGCTATTTCAGGTAACAATTTATATATGTTTAATTTCATTTGTTTTATTAGAAATATAAGAAGCGTTGCAGGAAGTTTGACACTATTTTGACCTTTATATATCGTTTGAATAATTGGTCGTACAAAAACCAATATGCGGAATAAAATGTACCACCATTTTTTAACTTCAAGGAAAAGTTAAAATTCTTTTAAGATCGGACAAAACTAAAATCTTATCAAATATTTAATTAAACAAAATGAGCATGTTATCAAATACTCGTATTAAATAAGATAAATCCAAAATATTTATTCCATGCTTGATAACTTTCATATTTTTAACGCTAAAATGGCACGAAATAAGTACATTTTGAAACTTAATATAAAATCGGTCACGGGTCTATTTCTTTGACTTAGCAATCTATAGATTCTCATGTATGTATAGCTAAAATGCTACTCGTATATTGTTACGTTTAAGTTGAAGCTATTCAGTAATTTCAATATTTTTATTATAACATGTTTATATTTACGTAGGACTGTTTACCAATAAGGTTCAAGTTTATTCATGTTGTAAATGAACCAGCTGTGTTTGACTATCTATTTGCAATGGGGCGACCTTTCATGAGTCAAGAAAGTGTGGAAAAGGTGGGTAGAGGAACGTTTCATTCTAAATTTAACATAATACGAGCCTTTAGCTGGAAAAACAAGTATGTGTATTTCAAACTACAGTAAGCATTTCAGTAATTTTATCTTGGAAAAATGCATCATATCTTCAACAAAGCGTCTCGAGAGCTATTTACAAAGGTTTACGTTTCTAAAAAAAAAGAACATCGGGGGAAACAAATCGTCCGCTTTGCTAATAGAGGAAGAGGTATCGATGGGTTTCTTTTTATCGACAGAAAAGTCTATTTTCCACCTTAATCATCTTTATTTGACAATAACAAGAAACGATGTATCACAAATTCAACAGTAAGAAAAGTTGAAGGCCGCTTTAAAATTGATATCGCCAGCTATTTATTGTATGGGCTTTATATTAATAGTTACATGAATGGATACAAGAATGTTTTGATTTAGAACTGCACCAGCGGTATCTACATTACTTTTAAAATTTTCTGCTAAATGCCATTTTGAGTAGGCTCTATTACGTGTTAAGTAGATTTTCATTTCATGTCAATTCTATGTAAGCTAAATGTTGCTTCTCTATTTCAGGTGTTAATACATGGTCATAAATTTGAAGAATTGGAAGAGTATTTTGATTTAGAGTATTTGCCGATCGAATATGGCGGGAAAGCTCCGCCGTTCTCCTTACAGGTAAATAAAGGGAGACAGCCGTTAAATATTATGATACACCTAATTCCCTCTATTCCGTCTAGAGTTATCCCAAGTGAATGTAGTAAATAATTGTAATTCAAATAAATTACTCTTAGTATTGACTCGTGCTGTACTTATTTTTTTAATTGTAATGTATTTTTCCTTGACTATGTTTGACTTACAAAAGAAACACCCTTCACTCTGTGTATCTACCTATAACTGTCATATTTATTGTAATTACATGTATATCCCTTGAACAGGCAACGAAAGATGCCATATTATACTGCGATCCGGACTTTGATGCTGAAGCAAAGAATGGAATGGTGACGACTAAGGGCGAAAGTTCTGTTCACGGATTGGCCGGATCGTACCGGAAATTGGAAATTTAGACTAATTAGGTGTTTTATGCTCATGACATCACAGTACTTGTTAAAGTTTTAAAACTTGCAGAAGAAACTCACCAATAATTGGAACAGTTATTCACATTTGTATATATATTATATAATACCAGTTATATGGTTGAAATTATGTTCAGTGAGATATCGTTCTATATATTTGGAATAACCAACTTACCATAAAGTACAAAATGCAGTCAGTGAATCATACTCGCACCGATTAAAACATTACTTGTTTAGTGTTTGTCAACTCAGCTTTAACTTTTCTAAATATGTCTCGCGGTTATGCCGTGCCTAAAATCTAATTTCATTTAATAAATGCATATATATAGTGTAAATTTATAAACCATTCGCATTGACAAAGCAACAAAATGTGTGTGTGCGTGCATGCTTGTGTGTGCGTGCGTGCGTGTGTTTGTTTGTTTTACCATCTGGATAATTTATCTTACAATTAGAATAGTTGCCACTTTATAGATTAAATATCAAAAGCACGCATGAAAAAAAAGCATGTTCGACTAATTTTATTTTGTAAATAAAATTAGAACACTAACAAATTTAGCGTTTGATTTGTTTATCATAATAAACAGTCAATGCACAAGGCTGATTTATTGCCTGAGAGCGAATACATGTATGTATTTACCTTTAAGTTTATTGCTCGTACCCTTGGGGTTTTATTTTCAAATGACAGAGCAAAATTAAGGTCTTTCACAGTTGGTGTGCACTTTTATGCTCGTGTCAACTGTCATGTTCTATTTCGTGATTGTTTCGTGATGACCTTTTTTCAAATCTCAAAACGGCAATCACTGAAACATCTATGCTTTGACTGAACAGCATTGCATATCTATAGAAGGCTAACGTGATCGCGATAGTGGTCTATTGAAGTGTTGGTAAATTTAACTAGAACTGCGTGAGTCGGTTGTGTCGCCTTGTCAACAGTACAGCTGTCAGTTAGACATTTTCTTCTTTATATAAATATATGTGATTTATTAACACTTCTCTTGCAGTGTAAATGCACTTTTAACTTTAGTGGAATTTGAAATGATTGTAACAATGTTACGTCAGGATTAATGAAACTGTTATATTATCAAAAGTAAAAATACCATGGAAAAGTTTTACACTAACAGATCAAATTGAGGACTCTGTGATGGAATCTTGTGCACTGCACTTCAGGTTACATATCGAAGTTGGAGTAAATCACACATATAGTGACCAAGTCATGTTCTGGACAAGCCTAATTAGTATGAAAATTAACAAAGGACAATAACTTAAAAGTCATGAGGTGCAAGTTCTTATGCACAGCACTTTTTCTCATCCATCCATGGCATCTTCATGCTTCTGTTCAATGATGGTAAACAAATATGTTAATGTTTAAGAAACGTTTTGTGTGGGAGATTAGCGCCAACAATGAAGCATTAAACATTTGTTTCAATATCAAAGTAATGCTACTCTGCAGTCAACAGTACAGTCTGATCAGATTGCACGAAGACTGCCAACCTCGATTTCCCAGTGTTATGGTATCAAGAAAGATAACTTATTAAATAACACTTCAAACTAGTAATTGTGTTACTTCCCTTTAATTGTTATCCAGTATATTATACATGTGCCTCTCTGATACCAGCATTCTCACTCGAGCCCTGGTCTTAACAACTACTGTTTAAGTATTCACAAAAAAATAAATATAAAACCTAGAATCTTGTTATCATCCATATAACATAACACACACATTACACATACAGGTCAGTAATCTCCAAGCAATAATCTCCCCTACATTCGTTAGCATAAAACTGTGCTGATCAAGGAAAGTAACTGCTGACAGGAGTTAAAATATAAGTGTCACAAATACATGTAATTCAATGGATAAGATAGCACTCTCAGCTAAGCAGTATGGTATCATGCATACGGACACTTCCCTTCCTCTTAGCTATCCAAGCCCTGACAGTGTATGTCAACCGTATTTACATATGCATGTATTTTAAATCTACAAAGAAAAACAAATCAAATATAACAGTTAAAATTTAATACTTCACCAGAATGAATTGCTGTACAATGATCGTATGGTAACATTTGATATTTCATTCCATAATATCACGGATTTATATATAAATCCGTGATATTATCGTCTAATAATTAATATGGTGCTATACAGGAAATAACTGTGAAAATGGATGCAACAGCTTCGTTACTTGCCTATATTATATCTATAAATACCCCTTGTAATTGTAAATAAGGGTGCCCAGCATGAAGCCATGGAGGCATATACATGTATACCTTAAAATAGATCACCTAAATATGTTCATCGATTTCTAAATTTCTAAAACGGGAAATAACGAAGGAAAGATGGATCCCAGTATTGTTTTACTCGCTAACATAATAGACTTTACAGTAGTAAGTATTTGTGTACATAATACATCCAATCATACAGGTAGTTTTGGCTTGCTAAAAAACCTAGTATTGGCTTGCTAAAAAAACCTAGTATTAGCTTGCTAAAAAACCTAGTATTGGCTTGCTAAAAACCAAGTATTGACTTGCTAAAAAATCCAAGTATTGGCTTGCTAAAAAACCTAGTATTGGCTTGCTAAAAAACCTAGTATTGGCTTGTTAAAAACCTAGTATTGGCTTGCTAAAAACCTAGTATTTGCTTGCTAAAACCTAGTATTAGCTTGCTAAATACCTAGTATTGGCTTGCTAAAAACCTAGTATTGGCTTGCTAAAAAAGCTAGTATTGGCTTGCTAAAAACCTAGTATTGGCTTGCTAAAAACCTATTATTGGCTTGCTAAAAAACCTAGTATTGGCTTGCTAAAAACCTATTATTGGCTTGCTAAAAAACCTAGTACTGGCTTGCTAAAAACCAAGTATCGACTTGCTAAAAAAAAACAAGTATTGGCTTGCTAAAAAACCTAGTATTGGCTTGCTTAAAACCTAGTATTGGCTTGCTAAAAACCTAGTATTGACTTGCTAAAAACCCTAGTATTGGCTTGCTAAAAACCTTTCAACAGAAACAAGCAAACAAACAGATGAAAAAAAACAAACAAACAAAAAATAACAAATATACAGATAAGGCCCCAACGGTTGCAAGTTTAAACGGATTCGTTTTGATTTTCATTCGTAAACGTTTACGTTATTTTTTACCGTTTAATCGAAATGACCATATTGTATAACAAGATATCTTAATCATTGCCTGTAATCATGGATTTTACCAATTCTAATTTGTTTATTCCAAAGTAAAACACAGAAAATGAGTGTTTACAAACAAACAGCATTTACGTGCAATAATAGCTCATGACATAATACATTTTTTGTAAAGTAGATTTTCGTTTGATTTTTCAAAAGAGAGAAATGGGGATACAATGCAGAAAATGTGTGCCGACTCAATCGTGATGAGCTCTGAACATTATTTATTTAAACAATGTACATGTATTTGTACATGTATTAACTAGAAATGTGTCCATAGGACACGGGTGCCCCCACCGCGCCACTGTTCTGTCAATCTTTTTACTAAGTCAAGGGAAATAACTCTACAAATACTGGATAAATCCACAAGCGAAACCCCAGGTGCAAATCTAAATATGCTGAGCAACCTGCCCATAAGGTTTAATGACTATGTCAAATCCTTTTGAGTAACTTGCGACACAAGTTGAAAATTGCAAAAATTTTCTAAGTGAAGGGCAATAACTCTAAAAATACTAAATAAATCCAGACAAAAATACCTGGTGCACAACTGCACATGCTGATCAATATTCCTGTAAAGTTACATGACTCTAGGTCAAATACTTTTTGAGTTACATGCGACACATGTTGAAAATTGCAAAATTTTACTAAGTCAAGGGCAATAACTCTTGAAAAACAAAAAATATCCAGACGAAAATACCCACTGCACAAAAAATATCCAGACGAAAAATACCCAGGTGCGCACAAGTTGAAATTGCAAAACTACACATGCTGATCAACATTCCTGAAAAGTTTCATGACTCTAGGTCAAATACTTTTTGAGTTTCATGCGACACAAGTTGAAAATTGCAAAAGTTTACTAAGTCAAGGGCAATAACTCTAAAAATACTAATAATATCCAGACGAAAATACCCAGGTGCACAACAACACATGCTGATCAACATTCCTGTAAAGTTTCATGACTCTAGGTCAAATACTTTTTGAGTTACATGCGACACAAGTTGAAAATTGCAAAATTTTACTAAATCAAGGGCAATAACTCTGAAAATACTAAAAATATCCAGACGAAAATACCCAGGTGCACAACTTCACATGCTGATTAACATTCCTGTAAAGTTTCATGACTCTAGGTCAAATACTTTTTGAGTTACGTGCGACATAAAAGTGAACGGACGGACGGACGGAAGGACGGACGGACCGACAAGGGTAAATCTAAATGCCCGCCACTAACGTGGGGGCACAAAAATAGAAAGTAAGTCATCATTTGGCGACTCAAATACATTGTGTAGTATAGTACATAGAAGTACCAATGTTTAAACGGAAACGTTTCGGTTCCTGACAATCGTGTAAACGTTTACAAAAGATTGTAAACATGGGAGCCTTACATACAGATCAGCTACTATGAACCACAAGGGCATAAAACATATATCAATAATTTCTATAAATATTTGGTGTGTAAGCCAAATTTTACTAAAAAAATGCATTTGAATATCCATATTGAAATTTTATTTTACTTAAATATGCACTTAAATACACATATTTTACTTAGAAATGCATTTGAATACAAATATTTTACTAAAAAAAAAATTTACTTGAATACCCATATTTTACATTCAGAAATGCATTTGAATACAAATATTTGTTAAGAAATGCATTTGAATACCCATATTTTTCTAAAAAAAAAAGCATTTGAATACAAATATTTTACTAAAAAATGCATTTGGATACCAAAATTTAAATACACTGACTAGACTCAAGCTTTGTATATAAAAATAAATATTCTAGAATATCAAAACATTATCTGTGTCTTGTTTGGGTGGACTTTCCTCTTTCATGGAGGTCGATTTCACAACACCATATTTTTCTTCCTCAATGAATTCTTCTTCACATGCCAACAGAGTATTTGTCCAGTCCTACAAAACAGAAGGAGACACACATGATTACTGCTGACAAAGAAACAAACTCTCCCAAAACTCTGAATGATAGTAAACTAGAGTAAACATTTTTTAAAAGATGTTTATATGTAATAGGATGTTGTTAGTACTGTTGACATTTCTATAAAGTACATAAGAGGGAACTTTCTGGGGCAGATAAACAACTGCAGAGGAATTGTCTGTTCTGTAAAATATAACAGAAAGGGGGAATCCCTTCACACTCCTATTCTATAACAACATCAAATTGAAATACATTTCTCAGACAGAAACAATAAAGGGACTGCAAACAAAGTCATATTCACCATTTTATCATAAACTATCAAATTAGTACATTTGAAAAGAAACAAACTTTCAAAGTTTTCCTTACTGGATCAAAAGTACAAAAAGTGTAAAAAAAATGAAGCGTATGAAACAGCTATGCCTTTTTATACAAAGCACCTACCTCATTTGAAAATGGAGGAGCTTTTCCGCCATACTCTTCTGGTAGATTATCTATATCTACAAAGTCTGCAAGTTTACTCATGTTTTTCCCATGCACATGAATCTGGAAGGAAAAAGATCACATACTTTTTACCTTTACCATAGCAAATTTATACTAGGAGCTTATCTTTAAAGGTTAATTGTTTAAGAGATCAAATGAGGTCAGAAAGCCCCCCACAAAAAATTGTACATAGATCAGCTGGTGCATTTGAAATGGAAAACAAGATTGCATTTGTGAAAAAAATCCTATGCCACCACATAAATATAACAGAAGTAGATTTCTTTTTTGTTTCTATACAATTGAACTCTGCCATAATGCAGTAGTGTCTAGTGAATTTGGGGGTCAAGGTCATATTTCAACATGTCAAATGAATGACAATGTGCAGATGAATTGTGTCTAATGTTAAACAAAGGCCATAGTGCAATAATTGTGAATTTTTACATGTATTGTATGAACCCCGGGGCAGGACCACTTTTGATTTCAGGGCTATAATTTGAACAATCTTGGGAGATGAATCCGGGGGCAGGACCAATTTTGATCCCAGGGCTTTAATTTGAACAATCTTTGTAGATGAACCCGGGGCAGGACCAATTTTGATCCCAGGGCTATAATTTGAACAATCTTGGTAGATGAACGACGGGACAGGACCAATTTTGATCCCAGGGCTATAATTTGAACAATCTTGGTAGATGAACCCGGGGGCAGGACCAATTTTGATCCCAGGGCTATAATTTGAACAATCTTGGTAGAGGTCCAATAGACAATAAATAGACAATGCCTTGTGCGAAATATCTAAGCTCAAGGCCTTGTGGGTCTTTAGAAGAAGATCTTCTTATTTTTTTTCTTATAACTTCTCTTGGCTACCATGACAACCAGATTTCTGCATTGAATCAAATTCTTTGCACAAATTCGGAAGCCCTTTACCCAAGAAACATTCCTTCCAAGTTTGGTTGAAATTTGACAAGTGGTTTTTAACAAGACAATTTTTAAGTTCACTATATAATCTTTATAACAGACAAAGACACACACACAGGTGAATCACTATAATTATGCCAGATACTGCAGTGGCATAAAAAGCACATGCAAAACATGATTAAGAAATACAAACAGAATTACATGCACATTGAAAACTGAAATTTTGTCTGATAATTAGCTTAACTTGAATTTTTTTTTTTCTGTACATTAAAATTATTATTCTTAAGAAAACACAAGAACAAAAAACTCCTTAAAAAACACAGAAGAGCTGTTGATAGGACAACATGCTAGACTATTCTCAGTCCTTGATAGAAAAACAACAGCCTAGATAATGTAAGAATTAACAAAGTAGAAGATTTCATTCACAAAAATACTAATAATGTACATGTCTTAGACATCACTAAGCGCCTAAATTTATTCAGAATCCATTGGTCTTGATAATTGACCAAGAATTTTAATTAGAATAGTATGAATCAAATTTCAAGTGAATACAATCAGCAGTTTTCTGAACGATAAATGTTGCAAGCAAAACTTAAACAAAGAATTTTAAAAGTTCAAAAAGTGTCATTATTCAGTTGAAATCAATGTCAGAGTAATGGCCCTTGATTATGATCTGTATATGTATTACGGTTCCATTGAATATCTTCATATAGTTTTAAAGATTGATGTTGCATTCAAACCTTTAACCAAGAATTCTCTAAATTCAAAAATGGCTAAAATTCAGTCAAAATCTATGATAACAGTTATGGACCATGGATAATGATATATGATCCTGAAGTGACACATTAAGTTTAAATTGAATACCTTCAGTAGTTTTGAATGTTGATGTTGCATGCAAAACTGAACATGTTCAAAAAGGGCGATAATTCTGTCAAAATCCATGCTATTATGGGCCTTATATAGTGACCTTTTGAACTCTCTGTGTGAATTTTCAAGCATATATAATAAGTGATGTTGCATACAAATCTTTAACCAAAGTGTTACACCAATGCCTGTGTGAGCAGAATAGCCCTAATATTCTGCGAAAAAGCAAGCTAAATACCATCTGAAATTTTCCACAAAAAAGTTGTTGGCACTAAATAACTGTAGAGGCAGGTAAGACTGCACAGAGTTGTTGACTGGCCTGACTCTACACTCGTGGCACAGAAAAAGTTATTAGCGCTTCAAGTATTCTAAAAAGTCAAAGTTTAAAATGTAAATTTTACCCTACCCTTTCGAGAAATTTCCTCCTCAAAAATTGTTGTACAATTGCAAATATGACATCAAACAGGGCCGGTTCATTTACATAATGCACTCCTTTTAGTCTCATTGGAAAGCAGTCCTGTAAATAAATAAATAATAATGATTTAATTAATTCTCATTGTAAGACACAGGGATGGTTCTAAATTGAATGGAAAAAATAGATATCCAGAAACCCCTACCAAAATATCCAAAACAACAACACTGGCGGTGGTTTCTTCCAAACTATCTATAATACTAGAACTATCACTAAATGTGATTAATACCCCCACAAGTCTGCTTCGGAAATGAGGATGTTACTAGTAACAGAATACCTTGTAAAAGAATTGAAACATAGAGTTATGGTTGTGGGCAATTAAAGATAATTGTGGTTCATGTATGTTGCATTTCCTTTCAATGTGGTTGGCCATTGATGAAGTTTAATTGAATTACTCTGTAATAAGTCCAGAAAGACAAAGAAAAAGAACAAAGGGCAATAACTCTATAAATACTGAAGATAGAGTTATAGTTCTTGTGCACTGCACTCCCTCTTATTGTGCTTGACCATTGTATGAAGTTGTTTTGAATTCCAACCAGTATGTTTTAAGTTATGCTTCGGACAAGGAAAAGTATCAAAGGGCAGTAACTCTGTATTTTGTCAAAATGGAGTTATGGCTCTTGTGCACTGCACTTCCTTTGAATGTCCTTGACAACTGTATGAAGTTGTACTGAATTCCAAACAGTAGTTTTCAAGTTATGCTCTGGACAAGGAAAAGTAACAAAGGGCAATAACTCTGTAATTAGTCAAGATGGAGTTATGGTTCTTTTGCACTGCACTTCCCCTTATTGTGCTTGACCATTGTATGAAGTTGTTTTGAATTCCAACCAGTAGTTTTCAAGTCATGCTCTGGACAAGGAAAAGTAACAAAGGGCAGTAACTCTGTAATTAGTCAAGATGGAGTTATGGTTCTTATGCACTGCACTTCCTCTCAATGTGCTTGACCATTGTATGAAGTTATAATGAATTCCAACAATAAGTCTTCAAGTTATGGTCCGGACAAAAGAAAGCAATGGAAAAGTAACAAAGGGCAATAACTCTGTAATTAGTCAAGATGGAGTTATGGTTCTTGTGCACTGCACTTCCCCTTATTGTGCTTGACCATTGTATGAAGTTGTTTTGAATTCCAACCAGTAGTTTTAAAGTCATGCTCTGGACAAGGAAAAGAAACAAAGGGCAGTAACTCTGTAATAAGTCAAAATGGAGTTATGGTTCTTGTGCACTGCACTTCCTCTCAATGTGCTGGACCATTGTATGAAGTTATAATGAATTCCAACAATTAGTCTTCAAGTTATGGTCCAGACAAAAGAAAGCAATGGAAAAGTAATAAAGGGCAATAACTCTGTAATTACTTTAGATAGAGTTATGGTTCTTATGCACTGCACTTCCTCTCAATGCGCTTGACCATTGTATGTAGTTATATTGAATTCCAACCATTAGTCTTCAAGTTATGCTCCGGACAAAAAAAGAAGGCAATTGAAAAGCAACAAAGGGCAATAACTCTGTAATTAATTTAGATAGAGTTATGGTTCTTGTGCACTGCACTTCCCCTTATTGTGTTTGACAATTGTATGAAGTTGTTTTGAATTCCAACCAGTAGTTTTCAAGTTATGCCACGGACAAGGAAAAGTAACAAAGGGCAATAACTCTGTAATTAGTCAAGATAGAGATATGTTTCTTACGCACTGCACTTCCTCTCAATGTGCTTGACCATTGTATGTAGTTATATTGAATTCCAACCATTAGTCTTCAAGTTATGCTGCGGACAAGGAAAATGCAACGGACAAAAAAAAAAGCAATGGAAAAGCAACAAAGGGCAATAACTCTGTAATTACTTTAGATAAAGTTATGGTTCTTGTGCACTGCACTTCCCCTTATTGTGTTTGACAATTGTATGAAGTTGTTTTGAATTCCGACCAGTAGTTTTCAAGTTATGCCCCGGACAAGGAAAAGTAACAAAGGGCAATAACTCTGTAATAAGTCAAGATAGAGTTATGGTTCTTGTGCACTGCAATTCCTCTCAATGTGCTTGACCATTGTATGTAGTTATATTGAATTCCAACCATTAGTTTTCAAGTTATGCTCCGGACAAGGAAAATGCAACGGACGTCTGGACCGACCGACCGACCGCCCGACCGACCAACCGACCGACCGACCGACCACCGGGTGACTCCTATATACCCCCCCAAACTTCGTTTTTGGGGGTATAATAATCACAAAGTAATAAATCTTCAATCTAGCTTAATATGCTTAATATTTGAGGACAAGAGGTTTAGGGTTATTTATACATGAGTTAACTACATGTCATTGATTTCTTTGATTATATCTGGGACACAGTATAATAAGACAAGAAACTACTGACTAGAAAGACAACGTGGAAGTGTAATTGCAAACTGTTCATCATTTTACATTGTCAGCTTTGTCCTTCTTTCACTTTGGACACATTTAGTGAAAATCAAACAAATGCAAAATTACCTTTAGACAATAAATGTATGTTATTAAGAAGCATAACACATCAATAAACTTATAGCTTTCAGGATAATGCCCAATTGTTTTATACAGCTGTACCTTGCCATTAAGCTTTCTTGCCATGAAAAACTATAAGGAAATATTCCAAATTTTGTGTTTGGGTTACATAAAGTTTTTGTACAAAGTTGTCTACACCAGCAACATTATAGCTGTCCGAAATTCCATGAACATTTTCATACAAGATAATATACACTGTGTTTGTTTGTTTGTTTGTTTTGGGTTTTTATGTCACATCGACACAGTATAGGTCATATCACGACGTTCCAGCTTTACTGGTGGAGGAAGACCCCCAGGTGCCCTTCCGTGCATTATTCCAGGCACGAACGGGCACCTGAGTAGAACCACCGACGTTCCGTAAGCTAGCTGGATAGCTTCCTCACATGAGAGAATCCAAAGTCCCTGTCGGGATTCGAACCCACAGCGGTGAGGGGTAAGTGGTTTGAAGTCAACGACCTTAACCACTCGGCCACGGACGCCCCACATATACACTGTGACTTAAATGCAAATTTCAATGAAAATAACAAAAAAATAAGATCAGACAAGCATAAAAGTTGGCAAAAACTGCATAAGAGGATAGCTATGCGTCAAAAAAAATTGCCGATGTCAAAAAGTGGACTTTTTGCATACAGAAATATTTGTGAAAATATGATTTCTTGAATTTAATACTGTTTTTTAGATTTCATCAATTAAGCAGGTACATGTAAAGAATACACAATGTATGTGGTTATTGTAATTGTTCTATTCAGTTGTTTAATACCTTTATTATTTATATAATTTACAGCATTTTCTACCTAGAAAATCTTTTATTAAATTATAGATTGGAGTAGGATTTTCCTTATCTATTATTAATGTTGTTGACGTCATTTGTATTTACCTGGGTTAACTGTTTTGGTTCATTGACTTTGTGTAATCTTAAGCTCTCTATAAATATTCAACATTGTGCGTAAACTGCACAGGTTTTGTCAGACACGTTTAGTTACATGTCGTTTCATTAGTTGTTCTTCAATTTCTTGACTTAAGTCTGGGTTTAACAGAATGACGTTATTATTTATATAATTGTTTGAAATATACATTGTTAGTTTAATAAAGGACCTGATCACACATTTTTTTTGTCATATTTTGAAACATTCTTTTATTACATTAATAATCTTTTGTGTTATTAACATATCGTTTCATTAAACAAGAGCTGTCAGTAGGACAGCAACGCTCGACTATTCTTAGTGCTTGATAGTAAAAAAAATGCTTGATACAGTTACCTCCTCCTGTTTACAGGTTGGGGTCATGATGTTGAACAAGTGTGCAAAGTTTCAAAGCCATATGTCAATGGACTTTGAAAATATTTGAACTATTACAAAAACTTTAACATAAATTCTAAGTCAAACAAGAGGGCCATGATGGCCCTGAGGTCGCTCACCTGTATATAGGCCCCCCCCAACCCCCACTCCCCCAACATTGCAGAGCAAATTTAACCCAAGGGCTTTTATTTGCACAAACTTGGTAGACACCCATAAGAAGATGTTTCATGCTAAACATTTAAGTTCTAGCTCATTGGGCTTTTTTAAAAGAATATTTTTTTTTAGTTTTTACTATACACATATAGTTAAAAACAATGACACCCTGGGGCCGGGCCAGTTTTGACCCCAGGGCTTTTATTTGAACAAACTTTGTAGACACTTACTAGAAGATGTTTCATGCTTAATATCTAAACTCTAGCTATTTGGGTTTTTTCAAAGAAGATTTAAAGTTTTTGCTAAACACATATAAAGAAAATCAATGACCCCCGGGGCGGGGCCAATTTTCACCCCTGGGCTTGTATTTGAACAAACTTGGTAGACCACCTATTAGAACATGTTTGATGCTCAATATCTTAGCCATAGCTCTTTGAGTTCTTTAAAAGAAGATTTTTTAAGTTTTTACATATATGCATATAGGGAAAATCAATGACCCCCCGGGCGGGGCCAATTTTCACCCCAGGGCTTTTATTTGAACAAACTTGGTAGACACCCATTAGAACATGTTTCATGCTAAATATCTTAGCTCTAGCTCTTTGGGTTCTTTAAAAGAAGATTTTTCAAGTTTTTACTATATGCATATAGGGAAAATCAATGACCCCCCGGGGCGGGGCCAATTTTGACCCCAGGGCTTTTATTTGAACAAACTTGGTAGACACACACTAGAAGATGTTTCATGCCAAATATCTAAGCTCTAGCTGTTTGAGTCCTTTAAAAGAAGATTTTTAAGTTTTTACTACTGTATGTGTAGAAATATTCGCGGGCTTCAAATTTTCGCGATCTTCGCGGTGACATTCGATCCGCTAATTCATGTTCAGCGCGAATATTTCTACACCAATAATTTCTTAATAGTCATATTTTCGCGCATCTATAGAACAATGTATATTAGTGTGTTCACGGCTGCCATAAGTCTGGTATCCGTGGCGCTTTCAAAGAGTGATTTTACTTTTGTATAAACTGTACATGTAACATTGAGCTCCGTATATAAATCAATTTGCTAGTGTAATATTGTTTGACTTCGATTTGATAATCGGATTCTTGTATAAGTAAATACATGTTTGAACAATACTATTGCATCACGCTATTTATTTCATAGTCTAAGTCATAAACGTCTTGACATCTGATCAGATTATATTTTGTATTTCTAAACAAACAATCCAGATAACACAAAAATTAACGATTCCAACAGATGAAAACATGGAAAACAAAACACAGTTACTCAGTCAACATTTTAACACAATTGGTGAAAATATTATGGTCTCATTCAGTGCTGTTTAGAACTGTGAAAAATCTTTTGTTTGCCATAATCTGTCCGATAAACAAATTGAATGTCTTTGTTCTGAACAATAGCGTATTGTTTGACACCAGGTATTGAAAATAACTGTGAAGTCCCACAATGATTACAGTAAAAAGTACGTAAAATAAAAGAAGGCTGCTTGCGAAAACCATAAACCATAACCTTATCGTGTAAGAGTAATTTCCATTATTTTTAACCTGATAGGTGTGCGCGAATTTATGATTTACGGCAGTTACCTCCGCGAATTCAAAATAGCGCGAATATTTGTATATACCCCAAAAATGGACCTTTCCGCGAAAATTTGCTTCCGCAAATTTAAATACACATACAGTATATGCATATAGGGAAAATCAATGACCCCCGGGGCGGGGCCAATTTTCACCCCAAGGCTTTTATTTGAACAAATTTGGTAGACACCCATTAGAACATGTTTCATGCTAAATATCTTAGCTCTAGCTCTTTGGGTTCTTTAAAAGAAGATTTTTTAAGTTTTTACTATATGCATATAGGGAAAATCAATGACCCCCGGGCGGGGCCAATTTTGAACCAAAGGGGCTTTTATTTGAACAAACTTGGTAAAGACACTCACTAAAGGATGTTTCATGCCAAAATATCTAAGCTCTAGCTCTTTGAGTTCTTTAAAAAAGGTTTTTTAAGTTTTTACTATATGCATATAGGGAAAATCAATGACCCCCGGGGCGGGGCCAATTTTGACCCCAGGGCTTTTATTTGAACAAACTTGGTAGACACCAATTAGAACATGTTTCATGCTAAATATCTTAGCTCTAGCTCTTTGTGTTCTTTAAAAGAAGATTTTTTAAGTTTTTACTATATGCATATAGGGAAAATCAATGACCCCCCGGGGCGGGGCCAATTTTGACCCCAGGGCTTTTATTTGAACAAACTTGGTAGACACTCACTAGATGATGTTTCATGCCAAATTTCTGAGCTCTAGCTCTTATGGTTTTTTAAAAGAAGATATTTAAAGTTTTTTCTTTCGGTTGCCATGGCAACCAGAGTTTTGCATGGAATTAAATTCTTTGAACAATTTTTAAAGGTGACCACCAAAGGAACATTCCTGTGAAGTTTGGATGAAATTGGCTTAGTGGTTTATGAGGAGATGTCATTTAAAGTAAAAGTTTACGGACGGACGGACGACGGATGGACGACGGACGGACGCCGGACGAAAAGCGATCACAAAAGCTCACCCTGTCACTTTGTGACAGGTGAGCTAAAAAGGGGCATAATTCTGTCAAAATGCTTGATAGAGTTACCTCCTCCTGTTTACAGGTTGGGGTCATGATGTTGAACAAGTGTGCAAAGTTTCAAAGCCATATGTCAATGGACTTTGAAAATATTTGAACTATTACAAAAACTTTAACATAAATTCTAAGTCGAAAAAGGGGCATAATTCTGTCAAAATGCTTGATAGAGTTACCTCCTCCTGTTTACAGGTTGGGGTTATGATGTTGAACAAGTGTGCAAAGTTTCAAAGCCATATGTCAATGGACTTTGAAAATATTTGAACTATTACAAAAACTTTAACGTAAATTCTAAGTCGAAAAAGGGGCATAATTCTGTCAAAATGCTTGATAGAGTTACCTCCTCCTGTTTACAGGTTGGGGTCATGATGGTGAACAAGTGTGCAAAGTTTCAAAGCCATATGTCTATGGACTTTGAAAATATTTGAACTATTACAAAAACTTTAACATAAATTCTAAGTCGAAAAAGGGGCATATAATTCTGTCAAAATGCTTGATAGAGTTACCTCCTCCTGTTTACAGGTTGGGGTTATGATGTTGAACAAGTGTGCAAAGTTTCAAAAGCCATATGTCAATGGACTTTTTGAAAATATTTGAACTATTACAAAACTTTAACGTAAAATTCTAAGTCGAAAAAGGGGCATAATTCTGTCAAAATGCTTGATAGAGTTACCTCCTCCTGTCTACAGGTTGGGGTCATGATGGTGAACAAGTGTGCAAAGTTTCAAAGCCATATGTCATGGACTTTGAAAATATTTGAACTATTACAAAAACTTTAACGTAAATTCTAAGTCGAAAAAAGGGCATAATTCTGTCAAAATGCTTGATAGAGTTACCTTCTCCTGTCTACAGGTTGGGGTCATGATGGTGAACAAGTGTGCAAAGTTTCAAAGCCATATGTCCATGGACTTTGAAAATATTTGAACTATTACAAAAACTTTAACATAAGTGGTTACGCCGACGCTCGGGTGACTGCAATAGCTCTACTTATTCTTATCGAATAGTCGAGCTAAAAATTTGTAATTTGTTAAAGAACAAACTTCAACAAACAAGCAATGAGAACATTAAATCTCAGTACTCGAACAGTCAAACTTATTCATGTAAGATGCCGTTAAAAACGTGTTTTCAAAGGACAGAAGAAATTAGCCTAAATAGAAAATCTTTTGTGCGATCAAATATTTGCAAATGATTTTAATTTGCAAAAAGTAACAAATATTTCCACATAAAAAAATTAACCACATATACAGTTTCGTTTGTTAACTGAGAAAAAGAACAGTATTGCTTGCATTGCAAACAAGAGCTGTCAGTAGGACAGCAACGCTCGACTATTCTTAGTGCTTGATAGTAAAGAAAATGCTTGATACAGTAACCTCCTCCTGTTTACAGGTTGGGGTCATGATGGTGAACAAGTATGCAAAGTTTCAAAGCCATATGTCAATGGACTTTGAAAATATTTGAACTATTACAATAACTTTAACATAAATTCTAAGTCGAAAAAGGGGGGTAATTCTGTCAAAATGCTTGATAGAGTTACCTCCTCCTGTTTACAGGTTGGGGTCATGATGTTGAACAAGTGTGCAAAGTTTCAAAGCCATATGTCAATGGACTTTGAAAATATTTGAACTATTACAAAAACTTTAACGTAAATTCTAAGTCAAAAAAAGGGGCATAATTCTGTCAAAATGCTTGATAGAGTTACCTCCTCCTGTCTACAGGTTGGGGTCATGATGGTGAACAAGTGTGCAAAGTTTCAAAGCCATATGTCTATGGACTTTGAAAATATTTGAACTATTACAAAAACTTTAATGTAAATTCTAAGTCGAAAAAGGGGCATAATTCTGTCAAAATGCTTGATAGAGTTACCTTCTCCTGTCTACAGGTTGGGGTCATGATGGTGAACAAGTGTGCAAAGTTTCAAAGCCATATGTCAATGGACTTTGAAAATATTTGAACTATTACAAAAACTTTAATGTAAATTCTAAGTCAAAAAAGGGGCATAATTCTGTCAAAATGCTTGATAGAGCTACCTCCTCCTGTCTACAGGTTGGGGTCATGATGGTGAACAAGTGTGCAAAGTTTCAAAGCCATATGTGTATGGACTTTGAAAATATTTGAACTATTACAAAAACTTTAACATAAATTCTAAGTCGAAAAAGGGGCATAATTCTGTCAAAATGCTTGATAGAGTTACCTTCTCCTGTCTACAGGTTGGGGTCATGATGTTGAACAAGTGTGCAAAGTTTCAAAGCCATATGTCAATGGACTTTGAAAATATTTGAACTATTACAAAAACTTTAACATAAATTCTAAGTTGAAAAAGGGGCGTAATTCTGTCAAAATGCTTGATAGAGTTACCTCCTCCTGTTTACAGGTTGGGGTCATGATGTTAAACAAGTGTGCAAAGTTTCAAAGCCATATGTCAATGGACTTTGAAAATATTTGAACTATTACAAAAACTTTAATGTAAATTCTAAGTCAAAAAAGGGGCATAATTCTGTCAAAATGCTTGATAGAGTTACCTCCTCCTGTCTACAGGTTGGGGTCATGATGGTGAACAAGTGTGCAAAGTTTCAAAGCCATATGTCTATGGACTTTGAAAAAATTTGAACTATTACAAAAACTTTAACATAAATTCTAAGTCGAAAAAGGGGCATAATTCTGTCAAAATGCTTGATAGAGTTACCTTCTCCTGTCTACAGGTTGGGGTCATGATGGTGAACAAGTGTGCAAAGTTTCAAAGCCATATGTCAATGGACTTTGAAAATATTTGAACTATTACAAAAACTTTAATGTAAATTCTAAGTCAAAAAAGGGGCATAATTCTGTCAAAATGCTTGATAGAGTTACCTCCTCCTGTCTACAGGTTTGGGTCATGATGGTGAAGAGGTGTGCAAAGTTTCAAAGCCATATGTCTATGGACTTTGAAAATATTTGAACTATTACAAAAACTTTAACGTAAATTCTAAGTCGAAAAAGGGGCATAATTCTGTCAAAATGCTTGATAGAGTTACCTTCTCCTGTCTACAGGTTGGGGTCATGATGGTGAACAAGTGTGCAAAGTTTCAAAGCCATATGTCAATGGACTTTGAAAATATTTTAACTATTACAAAAACTTTAACATAAGTGGTTACGCCGACGCCGACGCTCGGGTGACTGCAATAGCTCTACTTATTCTTATCGAATAGTCGAGCTAAAAAGCACAAATAAAATGTTTGATATCTTTAAGCCAGGAAAATTTATAATTCAAAGGAAAAGGTGGCTTCTTGTACCTGTAAAAGACTTGCTATACGTTTTGCATAGAAGGGTGTCATCTGAGTCACATGTCCTATCCCTATTCCTTTTAAATCTGCAATCACAACAACGCCTGCAACCTGTGTTTCTTCTTCCTAAAATAAGAAACATTTGTTTGATTATTATTTCACTTGGTTCAGGGTAAGTACTATTTCAGGTCTAGGGTAATTATTTGATAGCACTTTATAATAGAGACACACTACAACTCTCCTTATGCCTCACTCCCCTTGAATACAAAATGCAATTATCTGGCTACTAAACGTTAAAATAAGGGAATTGAGGGTTATACTTGCAAAATTTTTAAAAATGGCAAAGTAAATTAGGCTGACCTAGTTTTATGCCGTGCATTGGCATATCATATTCTCAGCAGAGGGAAATAATTATCTCTGTAGAGAGAAATCATTACCTCTGCTGTGGGAAATCATTACCTTTTCTAGAGGGAAATCATTACCTCTGCTGTGGGAAATCATTACCTTTTCTAGAGGGAAATCATTACCTCTGCTGTGGGAAATCATTACCTTTTCTAGAGGGAAATCATTACCTCTGCTGTGGAAAGCATTACCCTTTTTTAGAGGGAAATCATTATCTCTGCAGAGGGAAATCATTACCTTTTTTACAAGGAAACCGTTATCTCAGAAATAATTATCTCAGCAGAGGGAAATCATTATCTCAGCAGAGGAAAATGATTATCTCAGGCGAGGGAAATCATTATCTCAGGCGAGGGAGATCATTATCTCAGCAGAGGGAAATCATTATCTCAGCAGAGGGAAATCAATATCTCAGCAGAGGGAAATCATTATCTCAGGCGAGGGAAATCATTATCTCAGCAGAGGGAAATCATTATCTCAGCAGAGGGAAATCATTATCTCAGCAGAGGGAACTCATTATCCTGGCAGCTGGAAATTATTATCTCTGCTTGCATTCAAAGGTTTGATTACCCATTCTTTAAATTAAAACCTTTATTTACATTATTTTATATTAACATTATTTTAATTTATATAGTTGATATTTGAATTTCCTATACATATCAATTAAGGCACTTAAAAAGATATGTGAAAGATAATTATGAAATACCCTTAGAATAAAACTGAAAATTGCATATTTGTGCAATTTTTAACCAGATTCTAGCTTAAAAAGTTTAAATGCTTTTCATTTTTGGTCACTTTTCACAATGAAAATAATTATTCTTTAAATAATGGAGTGGGTGAATGTTCTGAACTTCTGCACACAAGTTATTAGTCAAGACCTTCATCAGTTAACACAAAAATCTTGGGGGGAAAATTGGAGTCTCTTTAATGAATAGGATATAAATAATAATTTACCTGAATAACCTTTGACAGTGTCATGAAATTTGTTTTGAATATGTCAGGTAGTGGATATTTAGAGGGATTCCATTTTCCTAAAAAATAAGACAGATTAGATAGAGGATATTTGTTTGTTTCAGTGTAAGATCGAAAAATATTTCACCGAGTGAACACCAGATGCAATATTTTCCACGAGTGGCGTAGCCACGAGTGAAAATATAATAGCTGGGGTTCACGAGTGAAATATTATTTGATCTTACATGTAAAACAAACAAATTTTCTGTTTATTTCATGATTTTTTAACGATTTTTACACCATTTTACTGATTTTTGCCACGTAACGTCATGCTCTTATCTTCATGACGTCATCAAATAATGACGTCACAATGTTGAAGCAAAATATAATTCCATGATTATTTTTAGATTTTAGATGTTTTTCAGCACAACGTTCGTAAATATTTACGAACTACAGTTATCACGTACATTTTTTATTATGATTGACTACATTTCCGCTGAAAAAAACATTCATTAATGATAAATATTTTATTTTTACGCCAAATATAGTTCGGCTACTGTGAAATTATATTTGGTAATCATTACTGTGAAATTATCAGAATATAATTAACCGTTATAATTCAGTAATCTACTGCAAAACATGTAATAATTACTAATAATATATTCTTCTAATACACTTCACTCTCTTTCAATATAAAACAGATTAGACAATCAAATGCATTAACATATAACATATGCACTGAACATAGAATGGAAATGTTTACATGCCTATGTACATCTAAAGAGGTGAGATCAATAAAGTAAACACAAAGAATTTCTAGCCACAAGAGTTCAAACCCCTTCAGGAGCAAGCTGTTATTTTGTTGAGCAAGAATTCTTTTTTAATCATTGCATAGTACTGGTCGGCAGCAGGAACATATTTTGACTGTCTCTATAAGGTTATAGCTTCCTTCATGATCCATACATGTAAACTCTTGCACTTTAAGCAGGATACTCCCACTTTCTAAAGCCATATTTTCAAAGATTTTTCTTCAAAAAGGGGTATTTTCACAAATTAAAGAAATCGCCCTATTTTTGATGTCAGAACTTCCTTTTTGTTTATTGCAAATTCTAAAATCTCCCTCTTTTTGAAGAAAAAATCTCCCACTTGATCATCGTCATTGCCGCCCGCATTAGATGAACTAATTGCGTTCTTAGGATGACGTCACTTAACCGTTATAAATGAAAGTTCATACGCTACTATATGAAAAAATGCATAATGAGAATATCAGTTTTCTTAGTTTCTGTTCTGAAAATAATTGATATGTAATATGCAAGAAAAAGAATCAAACACCAGCTGTCAGTACAGACGGGAATATCTAGCTCTCGGTAACTGTTTAAGTGGAAACTCGGCAGAGCCTCGTTACGGCTGTAAACAGTTACCCTCGAGTTAGATATTTCGGTTTGTACCGGCAGCCAGTGTAAGATTCTTATAAGATGACATCCCTAGTAATTATCAATTTCATGTCCATTAGAATGTTAGATTGGAAATAGTCAGATATCATTTTTTCTTATGCTGTATAAAAATAGGTGTCAATTCAACTGTTTGTAATTAATTAATCACTGAGGCCTACCCTCCTTTCTAATTACATTGCTGTGCATCTGAATTCAAACCCAGCATTATCCTACTGTAACACACTCAAAATTTATATGAGCCGTTCTCCAGAAAAACCTGCAATTATGACCAAAATATCGAATTTGAGGTTTTGAGCAATTATTCAAGTATCATCATTTTCCTGTAGAATACAAAAGAAATTTTGAAATTCTCTCAAAAGGTACCCGAGATACAGCCTTTCGCGATTAGGCACTGTCATGTACATAACCATGTAGAAATAAATCTTTCAATATACCTCAATATAAAACTAATAAGCAATTGAAAACAAGTACAACTAGTATACTTTAGTTTGTAGTTTGTAATTATTCATTATATTTTTGTAACAGAAACCATTAAATAATAACATAAAAAATCACAGGAGTTAGATAATGTCTTTTTCTATCCGTTACCATGGTAACATGAGTAATTCTTAATTAAAACTTGTCTAAGGCTCTTCCTGGACATGTTTCATCTTGAAATATATGGTCGCACATAGGGCCCGAACTGTGTTGTAAAGATATCTGCGTCGTGCAGCAGACAATTCCACCTGGTTGCAGTACTTGTGGCAAGTGTCCCCGTTCAAACTGAAAGTCGTTTGATTTTCATGATGGAGAATGTCTCCTCGGCTTTTTCGCAGCTCTCTTTAACAACCACCATTCCAGGATGATCTCGGCTCATACGAAAATATTGATACTTTTCCTGAAAGGGGTAAAAATATACATGTTAATGTCAGTTATGAAAATTTGTATTATAATGATAACTATAGAAGGCACTTTTATGGAAATTAAATTTGTTAAATCAAAGATGATAAAATGTTACACTTAACATGTATAGATACTATCCTCTGAATAGAATCTGAATAGAACCACATGACCCTAAGACCGCATGTTTTGTTTCAAATTTATCACATTCAAAGTATGTGTATTTAAACCTGTAAATAAAGACACCCGTCAATAAAGACCACACAGACCCTACCCGAGTGATCTTTATATATAAGTTTGACCTGTAATGTATGCACTTTATAGTTATGTTCAAGTATATTTTACCAATATGTCTTTACTTAAGCTGAAAAAAACGCAAAAACTGTACTTTTTACTCTTAAATTAATTGATGCCTTGGAGCGGCTTTTGAAGTACGTTTTCAGAAATCCTTTCCAGTCTCGCCATGGTCCTTTAGGGCCGGATACACGGGCTTGTGTTTGTTTGATTTGATTTAAAAAATTCCGTAATTTACCAAAGCACCCTTTGTTTTGTCCTCGGTAAAGTTTTTTTATGGGGGAAAAGCCAGATCAACAGGCAGCGAGCGTGACCGGGTATCCATCAATACTTTTAACTTTTTCCTGCGTCCAGTCAGAACCCCCCACATCGGGATATCCGCTTTAATATATTTTTTATTCTGTCCTGAAAAAAGAAAAAAATACAGAAAAAAAAATTTAAAAAATAGTTGCTGACTATGTTAAATTTTAATTAGTTTTTTTGGAAAAATTAAAACCCCGGGGCCCAAAATTCCCCAAAAAAATCATCAAAAATTTTTTTTAAATTATAAATAATATTCTAAATATGCATGTTGAAAATTACGTTGATAAGGGCTGACTTTTATTATTTTTAAACCCATGCGAATCTCCCCCGGGAAAAATGTTTAACACCCCTTTAAAAAAACATTTTTTTGGAATAGATGATGGGCCCTTTTTCATCAGGTTAAAAAAGACGCTTGCATTTGAAAAGGGCTTTTTTTAAAAATTTTGGAAAGAAAAGGGGAACCCAAACTTAGCGGGACAAACCTTTTTCACAGACAAAAAAATTTTTTTTCATTTTTCAAGATTTTTTTCAGAATTTTTTATCCAAATTTAAATTTTAAAAAAAACAAATTTTGAAATAATACCCGGTTTTGACGTTTAGTTTTTTATAACGGGACTATAACCCAGCATTGATACTTTAAAATTTAAAAAATTATTTTACAATTTCGATTGGGAAAGGGGTGCTATTAAAATTTTTTCATATAAACCCCAAAGTCTTTTTTAATATTGAACTAATTTTTTTGGCAAAAACAGTTTTTTTTTAAAATTTTTAATTTCCCACACGGGGCATGCATGCACTTTAAAACGTTTTAACGCAATGGTATAAAATTTTTAAAAAACGTTATTTTGCTATAAAAAATTTAAGTAAAAATTTTAAATTTAAACTTAAAAGGGCCACTTTAAAACGAACATACCGGGCCCAATTTAAATGGGCATGTAGTAAAAATTTGTTGGCCCCTTCCCAGGGCCCCTTTTCTTTTCACCCAGCCCACCAACTGAAAAACAGCGTTGGGGCCCGTGAGTTGAGTACCTTTAAAGGGCCCAAATTTTAGCTCATTCTCGTCTACAAAAAAGTTTTATTGCGTTGATGTTTCCGTCATTGCGTACACCAAAAAAATTTCCCACTTTGGAAAATTTGCCCTAAAATTTTTTTAAATTTGGGCCCCTTTCTGTTTTGGGAAGGGTTTGGGGGTTAGCGATAAATTTTTGGTTTGAAATCAAAGGTGAAATGGGGAAGTCGCCTGTCCCCTTCTAAAAACAGACCTTTAGCATTACAAGCATTTGTTGTAGACTTCTTTTTCTTTTTGGGGCATTGAAAAATTTTCCCTTCTCAAAAAGTTTTCCCGGTGCCCTGAAATTTTTTTCATCCTGGGTCGGAAATCCATCACAACTTTTTTAATTTTTTTCACAAGTTGACAAACATGGGTCCCCTTGGAATGCAATTTTGATGTTGGTAAACTTTGTTTCCAGATTTTGGGGCAAAAAAGGGTTTTAAATAAACAGCCGCTTTTTTTTTTGGTTTTAAAAATTAAAGGGCACGATGTTTCGTATTTCTTGTGAATATCAAAGTTTTTGTAGTAGCACTTGGGTAAGGGTAACTGGTGGGATGTTGTCCTGATCCACGTGGTGCAGCCAGTTGGTGGTAATACCTATGTCTTCAGCAGTTTGGGAAATATATGTCACCGCATGTTTTAATATCTTCAAACTTTAAAGATTTGACAGGTTTTTTTTTCCTTTGTTGCCGTGAATTCTTTGAACCACACCATGCTGATCGAACATGTGTTAGAATATTATGAATGAGCGCTCCGCTTGATATCATGGAAAGGCTAACATGAACACAGTCCTACACACTGGTTTCCCCACTAATGAAAAAGTCATGGTGACTTTTCTGACGTTTCTTCCCGCACCCTTTTGTCAATTCATTCTGAGGGCTGTTTACTACACTTTGTCATTATATACAGTTCTTTATCTTGCTTTTCCATTTCCCTAATATTCAATATGTGCTCAAAAATGTCAGAAATAGTAAACTGTTTAATGCAGTTTTTCTTGCACCCACAACCATTCTTATGATACAGGGTAATTCTGTTTCACGTCTTCATCATTTTTTGGGCAGATCACAATCAACTTCTGCTTCACCCTCGCTGTCACTAGTATCAGGAGCCCCTGTTGCGTCATCTGGAAAAGCGTGTCTATGTAATCTTGGACCCGCTGATCAACATCTAACTCAGGATCATTTCGTCCGAGTCTAAACACAGGGTAGATACATCAACCTCCTCCTGCGATCCCCAGGGTGTCGAAACGGGCGTCACACCAAAATGCTCCGGAAAGCAAAACTCTCCAAATCCTGTAAGATAAATAAGTCCGGTGGAGTACTGACAATTATGACAAAACATACAGCTTCTGCGCTAATTAATAGGCTAATATAAAATAAAAAACATTATAATTCACTGCAGAATACAAATTTTCCTTTAATATAACAACTGCTTGTCCACAAAAAATCATACACAGACTGCATTTCATTTCAATTAAAGGTTTTTTTTTTAATAAAAACAATTTAATTTTGACACAGAATTCTACATAGCATTTTATAAAATATGATTGTTAAAAAAAAAAAAAGAAAAAAAAAGTCCGCGCGTCAGGATCGAACCAGCAAAACACTGACTCTAAGTTATTGACTCTAACCGCTCGGCCATGACAGACTTTCGTACTAAGACAATATAAATTTAAGTTAAACTTAATCGTTCAGATTTTGATCAATAGCATACCCATTCCGAAAACAAAACCAACTAAATTTTCTGAAATTTTAATAAAAACTTATCGTCGTTGAAATATATTGACATTATTAAAAAAATAATAGAGATCTAGATCTACTGAGTCCTAAATAATTTTTAACGATTGATTCGATGTCATTCTGGTAGTGGTGGGGTACACAGAAATGTCTTCCAAATTTACGCGAATAACATTTAATTTTATCTGAAAAACAATCTTAACGAGTATGTCAAGAAATGTATGAGAGCGAAATCAACTTACTCTTTGCATGTTTATTAATGTGTTGCTCGATATAAGTTCATCCTACCCAGTTACAAACAATCACGCTACATTATTGTTTACGCGCCATATTTTCCTGATTCACTCTTGCGTAAAATACATCAATATAGGAACAATTGAACAATATAATGTGCAACATACCTAGTTTAGAGTTGATAAAATATATGAATACTACATACCTCTATATCGTTATCCATTTTAAATATCCAGAAAATGTCAAAATTTATCATGTAAACACTGATACATGAAGGTCACTGAACTCACATGTGCTTTCAAGTATGACGTCATATTTATCGGGAAATTCCCAACGTCATAATCAATGTCATTTTGGCAGGTTTTCCTGGAGAACTTATTTCCTAAGTCATACCCAACCAGATCAACTTCAATATTAATTATCATTTTGATCATTAGAAGTACAAATTTCCAACTTTTTATGAATGATTATTGTTACAATCATCTAAGCACATGCAATTGGTATTTTTATATCAATCATCTGGGTTGTATGTGACACTGACATTGTAAAGGTCACAGCTTTATAAGTTGGGTAAGATCTCTGATGTGCCTCTGTGTGTTATTTCTGGCATTAGTGGGCACTCAAGACAAACCATCAACCATCCATTAGCTGGTTGGATAGTTTCCTCTCATGAATGAATAAAAAGTCTCTGTCTGGATTTTACCCCACAGTGGTTAGTGGCAAGTGATTCCAATTCTGTGATATTAACAATTAGGCAATGAAGGCCACTGCGAAAAATACAACATCTACACACAAATTCATATTACAAATATAAATACATGAAGAGAATAGCAATTTTTTTATTATCTAATGAAGAATTTGGAACTTCACAAGAAATAAATAAGACCTAAATGAGGTTTTTTTTGCTCTAGTTTTAAGCCCCTGATATAAAACAGCATACAGTTATGATACCTAACAGTTAGTTATGTACATAATAATCATGGATGTTAATAATAAGTTCACATTTGTGTGTGAGAAGGCATGTAGAGATTTGGAAACTTTTCTCTATAAACATATAGAATAACTCCACCAACTAAGTGCCTAGTTTTTTTAATTTTCTTATTCAGTCTGATGGACAGACATCGAAGAATCGTTTCCATGAAATCAATATCACAATCTGGTTTTAATAATGGCATGTCAGCATTTCAGTTTAAACCAGGAGAACAGAGAATACCCAAGAGTCTATATATAAAACAGACAGTACCTGCTCTGAAAATTAGAACCCTTCTTCCAAATTTATCTCTGTGTGGCAAAACACCTGTGACACCATCTTCTAGTACATGTTTTACTGTAGACGGACGCATATTTCTAAAAAGATCCTTATTCTTCACCTCGCACTTCACTTCAAAATGTTTCAATATAAGCTGAAAGGCTCGTTCACAGTCAAACTTCTTAGCACGTAAAAATCGTATGAGATATGCATCATCTGTCCGAACATGTAGTTCTGCAATGAAAAGCAAAAAGAAAATAAAGGGTTTCTTGGACTTAATGGTTTAGTATTTGTTGAGGTATATAGACATAAATTTGTAGCAACTAGATCCTTGATAATACAGACTGTGTTTTTTGATGATTTACTGGAAGAACGCCTTAGCCTCTTGATTTTGGGAAGAATCACTAAAATTGCTAATTTGGGAAGTGAAAAAGCTGGTGTAAGTTCAGATAAAATTTTCAATGGGAAGAGACTTTTTTATAGGCCTCCCGTTATATATGGAGAAAATCACTGTAATATAATAATAATGCTTGTCTGGCATTTTAACTGATTTTTGGTCATATCTTGGCACTAAGTCAACCTAACTGGATTTCCTGGATAGCTAACCTGAGTAATTACCAACGTCTTCAACTTACCTCTAATGGCTTCTAAATTAGCAATAAGAAACAAAGATACAAAACTTTCAATGTCTGAGATTGACCGTCACTGGGAAATTATGCCTTGCTTATGGGTCAAACCATTGACCAATAAAAAAAACTGTGTTAGAAATTAAAATAATAGCATTTTTTGGCTTTCTTGGGCCTCTAAAATTAACACTTTAAAATTTGATAATTAACAATAATTAAACCAAACTAAGTTCTGCATCAAAGAAAAAATAAAAAAGCTGATTCAAATTCATGGTTCTTTACATATAAGATCAGTTGAAATATTCTTTTTATACTGATATTGTAATCGTGACATTACATTTAAACATAACAATAAACATTTGATAAATCTTATCTTTCAATATATCCAAATTTTTCAAGGTACAAAGCTAGCCTAGTCTGTAATGATTTAACATATGAAAAGGAAACAAACTAAAAAACTTTACAACTAAAACATTGGAAAGTTCTTAAAATTGTCTTAAAAATTACCAAAATTATGAAAATTTCAACCAACTAGACTGACTAGGCATAACAGCTTTTTAAGAAAAATTCCATTGGTAGTGAGTCCTGTTATATTTTATGTCCCAAGTTCTTGCAAAAAGAAAACTAATGAAAGAAGTCACCCTTAAATGAGAGTAAATTGCTGATAAAACCCATTTATACATCTATATACAACAGTAAATAATATAAGAGGAATTAACACACAACAATGCCGGAAATATATACAAAGAAGTTCATACCTTGACAATTCTCTATCTTTTCCCTGAGTATCTTGATATTTTTTGTTCTTGATTCATCAGTCTCAAATAACTCTTCCTCAGCCTGTTTGATGAACTTTTCACTTAAAGTGCAAATATACTCATTGTCTTTCTCCTTTGTTGCCATAGATACAGTTTGTTGCTAGGAAGTATTTAATGCCAGTTCATTTGTATTTGCTTTAAAAAGATAAAAATAAAATAAAAACATGTTGGATCTTACATAAGTTGTCATAATATTTAAGCTTCAAGCTGTCATTGATTCAGTGCAAAGCATATCAATGGTATAACAGATGATGTAACATATATATAATATCGACAATAAGTCATAATTACTTGTCTACAATTGGCTTTCATACCTGTTTAAATGATTAATGAAAATGCTGATTCCATGTTCTGTTCATAATATTAAGATGTGTGTTGTCTATAAATGCCTATTGTGATTCTTTGTCATCACTGCTATTAAGTATGTACAATTGTACATTATATAACAACAACATAGTGTCAGATATGGACACCTGCTTCTGTTTTAAATAATATTTTGTGTAGATTGTCATAATTTGAAGATATCTAATTAATTAGTTAAAAATTTTGATTTTTCTATTTTCAAATGCATATCGATTATTGACATGTGCTATTTAAAAAAGAACACAGTTAACATGGTTACGATTCTTTAAAGTATATTGTACTAAAACTGGTTTGCTAAATATAAGTAAACATTGTTTATAATTAAATCATTGACCAGATCAAGCAGCACTATAAAAAGTTACTTGTCAAGATCTTTACATACATATTGTATATACATGTATATACTATAATGACCTTGAGTTAATGATTATAAGATGATTCATAGGAATCACCTCTATTCAACATTTACTCGCAGAAGTTTGTATTAGAAAATTAAAATAAAAATATAGAATAAAATGCACCTGTATTTAATTAGAATAAAGTGGTTTAAACTTAAGCATATCTAGTCCTAGATCCATTTAAAAACATTTAACAAGATCGAGATTCTACTGTGATCTACACAAAAACGCGAGCATTGTTTCACCTGTTGGTCGTCTTAATCTACCGATATTCTATATTCTGTTTTGAAAATCTACAAACAGTAAAATAAATATATTTATTTATCATCTTACATACTAAAAGTCAATATTATTATTTCTTTACCTCACCTCTTCAGCAAATGGTGGCTTCGGTAATAAAGGGAGGCAAGCGTGTACAGAAATGAGTACAATTGGAAATATTTATTACGAGGTTAAAGCTGCATGCTCTAGATGAGCCAAATATTTCAAGAAAAACAAACTTGAGAAAAATGTATAAAGATTTAAACAAAAGTTAAAAAAGATTCAAGATTCAAGTGATAATAACATCTTATGATTTAGTATTAAATTTATTTCCCCTTAGGCTGAGTGGGTGGCTGCGTGACCGTAAGATACGACTACATAAATGTGTTCTAATAACTGGAGTCTATGACTCTCTTAGCTCCAGCAGGTGAGGTCGTTTTGACCCCTGGTGCTGCTTAAAAATTGTAATACCAGAGGTTACAAAAAACCACCTTTCCTGTTTTGTCGCTATATGACTTGATTGTGTTGGGGCGCCGTAAAACAAAACAAAAAAGTCCGTATTTATCACCGTATTTCTACAGCCGCATGCCATAATTCATAACTTTCAATGTGATTTACTATACGGGTTACAGCCGCATGCCATAATTCATAACTTTCAATGTGATTTACTATACGGGCTACTGATAAGATAAATTTTATCTGGATTACTGATTATTACGTATCAGTTATCAGTATATATATATATATATATATATATATATATATATATATATATATATATATATATATATATATATATATATATATATATATATATATATATATATATATATATATATATATATATATATATATATATATATATACTGTAACCCAGATTTTATGCAAAAAAGACAGAGAAAAATCAGCATCAATTATTTATTTTTAGATATATTCGTTTTTTAAACAATTAAAAAATGTCTTTATTCTACCTAATTGTTAGTAGTTTTATCTTTTATAAATCAGTTTAAATTTTAAATACCGTTATTCATTGTTATTTGAACTTCTTATGACAACACATAGTATGTGGATCACTGAACAATAAAAGCCATTAAAACGGATTGATCGTCCAGTTTCATATGTATCAAAATGATCATCGTTCACCACTTCACCTTCTGTTCAACTATCATTAGCCTGGGATTCAGGCGTTGATATTTTTTTTATTTATTCATAACTTACGCGCTATTTCATACTCGATCGTCATAGATAACACAACATCTCTGGTTTTGATAGTATCAATGTCGATTTGCCGAACAGAAGCACATAAAAAATCGACAGACTGTAACCCAGGCTAAACTATCATATGTATCATACTGGAAACCAACATATCTTGTAACGATGGTCCATTTATATATGGTTGGTCCACGTGATTCATCAACAATAAACACGTGTCTTAATTAAATGAAAACACATGTTCGATACAACAGTTTTATTTAATTCCACTTACCATATAGATTTCTCTAAAATATCAAGTTTTATTCTTACACAATGAGTTTGTCAATGTGGTATCAAAAATAACAACAAAAACAACAACAACAACAACAACAACAACAAAATACATGTATATAATTGAAAGACTGGTGTGAATAACATCTATTTAACTATATTTCAAAGAGTACCTTTGAATATCTGTGAGTCGTTATTCAAAATAAGTTGACAAGCATATCTATGAAGAATATTCACGAAACTCTTGTTATTTAAGGTGCGCTAGCTTTAGAAATGCATGTTTATCTTTTTGTATATGAAAGAGAAATAAATAAACAGTTACTTTCGTTTTTACTGAAGTAACAGTGGGCAAAAATGCTTTGAATAGTTTGTTCAACGGAATGTGTCGAACATCTCAATATAATAAAAATGATGAAAGAGAATTGCTTTCTACACATAAAAAGTGGACATTGCTAGACAGATCTGAATTTCCAATTCCTTTCATAATGTTTCATGTACTTTGTGTCTTACAGAAATATGACAAATCGTAGTCAGTTAAAATAATCTTACCCGAAACAATGTACATAGTCTAACACAATGAATATTATCATATTAAATGATAGTGCAAATGCAGTGCTAATTGTGCCTTTTTGGTCTTTTGTTAGTGATTTAAAAAGTGTTTTTTAGTTGTTATTTTTGTCGAGTAAATGTATTGATAATGTTTTATGTATACATGTAATACATATAAGGTAATTATAAATATCTCGATAGTATTTATCATCCGTATATGTTTATGTTGACATATTAATGAAGTTCTTATAATTAATCTGTATGTGGAGTATTACATCCTTTCAAGTACTTGTAAATAGTTATCATTCTTGCTATAACCCTTATGGAAACTTACGAATAAAAATCTGTTTGTTTCACTATAAACAATTGCATATGGAAACTCCAAATCTGTAACAACATTGTCAATTTCATTTTGGTTATTACATTGTTTGATGTGTGAACCAGCAACGAAGAGAAAACCATTTTCTATCACGGCAACACCATGCGGTGACCCGTCAGTCGTGAAACTCTCTAAAACCTCTCCATTCCAGTTCAGTCTTGTAATTTCACTTTGTCCTAGATCAGACACAATTATGTGATTGTTAGTAGCGGTTACATAATAAGGTTCACTGAATATTAGATACTGCATCGAGTTAATCATAACTGTTTTCAGAACCGTTCCATTCAGTTCCAGTATCTGAAGCTTAGAGGGACAGCCATACGTGACTAAAAGTCTTTTTCCATAAAAATATAAACCCCGACAATCACCTTCAACTTGTAATTTCTCATCAGAAAAAGTCAGTGTTTCTTCGGTTACGGATATGAAGTGTATTGTTTGTTCCACTGGGACTGTTACAGCACATTCACCATCATCTAGTGCTGTTACATCTAACGGATAATTATCTAGTTTTAACTGGTCAATTACACTATTCTTTGACAGGTCAACCAATTTAAGTGAAATGTTTTTGCTGTCTGCAAGTATTAATTGGTTGGAATTAAGAGATGTCATCCCTGTGATCCAACATCGTTCGTCATCCTCTTCAGTGCTGACTTGAATGTATGTTTTGTGTACGAACTGATTTGGTCCAGATGCGTCCATACCTAAGTAAGGAAAAACATGAAAAGAAGAGAATTCGTAATGTTTTTTTTTTCTATTTTATATATTTTGTCTCAATTGTTATACAATCAAAATATTACACATCATAGCCTTCATAGGGGGATCTGTAGCCTGGTAGTTAAGATATTTGCATCTCGATGGTTCGAACCATACTGCGATCAGGATACTACAATGTATTCCCTCGGGTATTACAGAACTACCGATTAGTTCAAGGATGGTAAAAATAAGTTAAATCATTATTCACAATCCAGCTTTAATTGATGATTTTAAATATTATGAACACTTTGTTTGCTTGAAAATCTTACATATTTTTGTTAAGATCTTTACTTGACAACAAGTGTTCTCGTCAGGAGACGTATATTGTTTCAGTAACTAATTAATTTAACCCTTAACCTGCTAATTATGTGAAATGAATTTGCTCTGCTTTAAATCTGAAACAGTCCATTAAAGGATTATGGGATTTATAATTCAGTTCAATATAAAAACAACAACAAAATTTAAGCTATCGCACAGTATATAGCATGGTTAGACAAAAAAAACGGGAGTGCACGCTGGGTTGACTCTGGACTGTTAGCAAAGGAAAATCGCTTTCGGTTGTAGCAGACTTATCTTTCATTATATACTGGCTGTAAGAATATAACATTATTAAAATATCGCCAAATGTAAAGTTGTTTAAATGTTAAAATAAAAAAAAAATGTATAACACAATGATATCTTGTTTATACCTCTGATCATTGAAAGCTAAAAATTGTTGTTGTTTTTTGTTTACTTACCATTTCACAGAAGTCCAAAGTCCAACGATTGATAAGTAAACCAATGTATTCATTTGCAAGACGTTACTTATAAAATGTTTAACAGCTAATTGTCTCTTGTTTCAGAACGTTTTATTCAATTTACTTCCGTTTACATAGAGGTTATTCTTTGTTTTCAGGTAATATTTTTGTAGTGGAATGACTTATTTATACTTTGTTAGCGCTTTTTGTTTATGAAAATCAGATAGCATTGTTGCAGGTGTAATCAATATCACATCTTGATGTTTAAAACCGCATTCTTTATTTTGTTAAACAGATAAAGCATGTAGCAAATGGAGATAATTAATTAACTTAACATAACATACAAGGTACAATCTTCCTGGTCGATCAAGATTCATCCTCTCCTCTACATACATACACACACATACTTAATTGATAGTACTTGATATATTAGGATATGTTATAATTTGTTATGGAAGTTATTCTCCCCTCTCCTTGATAATACTTACACTTTTAGTGTTCACTTATGTCACTAGATACAATAAGTTGTTATGCACGGAAACCAATGTCATTTTATTCCCCTCATTCAATGTTGTAGTTGACGGCGTGTTTCGTATTTAGACAAACATTACCAGAATGACACAGGGATATTAAACGATCAATCTTTCAATGTTCAAAATGTAAGCAAAAACTAGATATACAACCTTTGCATAGATAACAGTCGCCTTGATCTTTGTGGGTTTTTTAATGTCAACACATTGACTTTATTCAGTGGGATCTTTCCTTGATAGACTACGATAAGGCACGGGATAATTTACAATAGCTTAATTATGTATTTTAATACTTCAATTATGATAATGGAAATATTAAAGGAACTCCACTGAGGTCTAAAAAGCCCAAAACATAAAGGTTGAATTTCGTTCATAGATCAAATGGGCGACTTATAAACATTTGCAAAGGATAATTACGAAATATACCCAGAAACAAATTGAAACTCGTTTTTCTTCCAGAACTACATCAAATGGAACATTAAACTGGAACAATTGTATCCCGTTTCGTCAAGTTAAAAAAACCTTAGTGGAGTCCCTTTAAAATCTAAGTGAATATAAGTGAAATGATAAAAAATTTAGGAACTCCATTGAGATTCAAAAACGTTAAAAACATAAATATTTAAAACCATAAATAGTTCAACCGAGGCCCTTAAAACAGTAAAATATGAAAAAGATAATCAAAATATAGTAAGTCTCAACTGACCTGGTGTGCAGGTCTATCTCAGCAATTTTCAGTTTGAGCCATGTCTAAACAGGGCAAAGAGATCATTTCACGCAAGCTATATCATTTTGATTAATAAAATCCGTGGTATGTTTATTACGATTAGTGGATACAATAAGAATTTCACCACAACATATTTGTTAAAAAAGAGCACATGTCAATGTTTGTGGTTAAATCTATTGTTATTCAAATGAAAGGTCAGAGTAGGGATCTAATTATCTGATCGAAGTAAACATTCACCAAGGATACTGTAATGACATATAAACATAAGAGATAAACAGGATTGAGAACATATGAATGTACGACAGCGCATTTACATTTCGCTGAAACATAACTAGCCGTGTTCTGTGGCAGCCTATGCGGGAGCCTTTTCCTCGCCTGAGAGCTCCTACTCCTACTGAATACATCAACCTTGCTGCGCATTGTAGAATAATGGCAAAACATTTGATAGTCTTGCTGGTGTCGGTGTCCAGCTTGCCTTGCAGTTAATAGGCATTTAACACGAACATTGACGTTTGTGAACTAACTATTATCACCTAGTGAAATAACTCAGTATGTTTCATACACACAATAAGTGACTATCTATCAAAAATGAAAGTTCTACAGATGTCGTTGTTCTGCATCAAAGTTTATGAAAATATTGTATCATATTCAGTGTTAAATCAAATATTAATGGTGCGATTATATAGCTAATAATTGTATTTATCTAAAACTTTGATACGAAATTAATGAAAATGGTACAGCAAACTCAAAACGAGACGATAATCAATTTGACTGTAATCGGAATTCTTCTTGGATTTCTTTTATACACGAACAAAATAACGTCAAAACGTTGCGTACATGTATCTGGAACATGTAGACCCTTCGATGAATTATTAAACTTCAAAAGACAATATTAAGGTAGGTGAGTTGGTTAAGAAACAGGTCAAGATTATATTTAGGCCAACGAGGATGTAGATCTACTAATTCTGTTGGTGTTACAATAGCAGCAGAATTTGTAAAGTTTAGCAATGACAATACTCAGTAGTTTATAATCCGTTTGAGATATGTTTGACAAGGTCCTAACAAGTCAAACAGGCTTACCATATAAATTGATATAATGACAAATTTAACTGTCGGCGTAACGCAGTAGGTAAAGTTGTCTGGTAAATTTCTAGTGACATATCAATGCAAGACAGCCGGGTTCGGTTACAAATTTATGTATAATTATCAATCGAGTAAAAATATCATTTTTTCCTTGTTAAGATTATTAGTGCTGTGTTATGGTCCTTTAATTTCTTATTTAACTTTTGTTTTTAAATGTTAGTAAGTTGGTGCAACCTTATACGGAATGCATATATGTACATGAATTGTTTCAACTATAGTTAAGTTGTCACGAAAAACTTGTGCACTACTATATATTACACATTTTTCCCGGTATATCTTAATTATTCGATATTATAACAAAACTGCCTTTATATTCCAATTCATTTGCATCTAATGTAAAAAAAAAAAAATAGGGAAAGAAAAAAGAACAAAAAGGTTAGACAACTTGTGAGGCTCGAACTCATAATAAAAATTGACTTTGTTTGGCATTCTATTGACTTTGCCAACTTTGCCATCAAGACTTTGCAAATTACTATTTCTTATCATATTCGCTCCTAAATACTCTGTTTTACCTGTTGTAAACTTTTGTGTACACAAAAAATGCAACGGTACTCAAACATTATCATAGCGGCACAGTATCTCCTACATTCTGAGCTAGCAAACTCTAACTGAGCGCGTCAAAATATTTTGACAAGAACGGAATGGTAGAGTAAATCAAGTTTTTTTGTTGGCTTTATGTGTTGACAACATACAATAAAGTGTTAGGCAAGAAAGGAAATATTATTTCTATATTTATGACTGAACGGCGATTCCAAGCATTTTTGGAAATGCTTATAGATCTAGATCTACTTGTTTTTTCTTGAGCCGACAAAATAACAGTCCCATATGGAACATTTTGCAGGTGCGCGATGACGTAGTATCCTACAATTGGTTATGAGTAACTAAGTTTGTTAGAAGAAATAAAGCAAGAGAAAATATTATTCAGCATTGTCATCCATAGAGATTTGATCGATGAAGCGATATGTTTAGCTTTTTATAAATATTGCCATGTAGTCGGCTCTCCCAAACAGTCCCCTGCTCCAGACGTCCACAGAGTTTATTGCGGAATACAAGAACTGTGGATACTTTGGATGATTGTCCCAAGAGCAACCTTTTGAGGGAGGGATTTCTTCCGAAATTACCATGTGGCCAATATCTACATCACATCCACCATAAGCTTTGTTGATGAAAAAGCGGCGTTCGTAGTTTCCTGCCGCGTATGACCCAGCGATTGAGAAGTAATTATAAACATTCATAGATGTAAGATCAGTGTAACTGGACGATAGAATTCGACTTTTGTCAAACCAGGAGTTTACGTCACTTCCTGTCGCGTTGAATATGACATAAGCAACTTCCTGGTTGTTTTTGTAGAAAGCATACTTGACATACTTTGCCCCAATATTGGCCCAGTTTGTGACAACACTGTTTCTGTAGTGGCTTGAATATGATCGTGCCATTGATGTCGGTTTATCAGGACTTGTATTGACCCCTGCCGAAAAGAAAAGTATTAAATTCATAACTATTTCTTGATCTGTTGAATTGTTTAAACTGACTTTTATTTCTGACATAAGCCTTTTGCAGCAGTCAATTGTTACCCGGCACCTCAAATCACTGAGTACAAGGAGACTTTAACTGTTCGATTTTCAAAATCTTAGTCAAGACGTCACCGCAAGAGATTAAAATCTCTGATAAATGCCTCAGCGCTGCAAGTTTCAAACATAAATCCGCTGCTTTGGGGCCTTCTTGACCCGACAGCACGTGGACATATGGACGGCAAACACTTGACTAATTTCCCACGCCATTCGCCAAAATGCATTGAAGACCGAAATTACTGTTGACTGATCATTATTTAATAATGATGAGCACGTTTATGACCATTCAAATTACTTTTCAAAATATGCATTTTTAAACACATTTCATATCCATTATCGCGTGTATTGTAAATGATTACGCACCTGTTGTCCAAGCTTTAAACACGTTTTGCCCATTACTTGATGTGGCCCTAAAGATCATCTCCCATCCGTATTTTTCTAGGTCTTCGACTAGCAGCGTGTGCTGTCCTGAGTTCTGCAACCTGTAAAGACAATAATGCGGGGCTAACGACACGGCACATTAGTTAAAAGAGTTTTACAAATATAAAATTATTTCAACTGCACCAAACTTTTAAAAATCTCCTAACAGTAGCTATAACCATATTTACCTATATTTCTTATAACGTTTGCTCTGTTTATCTATACTTTGGCAGTATCTAGGAAACCACAGACAACTCGTGTCAGCAAATGCACTGATTTACAAAGCCTTCTTTACAGAACATCTGCGCATACATGACAGTTTGTAAATATATTTGACTCGCTTAAATGTGTTTCGTGTCATAGATTTTGTTTACGAAAAGAATCTTTCTGTATATGTTATAATGACGAAATAAAAACTGTTTTACTTTCCTCGTCTTTTTTATCACTGTTAATGGATTTAACATTTTTAATGAGGTTTTTTTATATTACAAGATTGGAAATGTTTTTGTTAGTGAAATTTTTGTCCATTTGTATACAGGTCTGGACCAATAATTTCTGTACAAAATTTCAGATCATTCTCTAAATCCAATTTTCCCTCAGGCTGAATAAATATTCTAATTGCTAGAAAGAACCAGAAATGCTTTTGACTTGAATCATGCTAAGAATAGCACACAAATACAACTTTCAAAATATTATTCAATATTATTTATTTCTTTATTTTACATTTTTTCCGTTTACATTTAAGTGTTTTAGATTGTTGTATTTTTTTTTATCTATCAGACTTTACTTAATATTGTGTTTTAGAAAAGACAAAATAACATTACACACTATGGCAAGTCAAAAATAAAATGTCAGATAGCCAGCCTGTCTGTACTTTAACCTTTGATCATTACTGACGTTTGGTAAGTTGCCTTATTAATTTTCTTTATTTAAGAGTCAAAATATTATTAATTCATTAATACAGTCACAATTGCTGAAATGTGACCATACGGGAAATATATGAGTTCTTCTGTACCTAACTTTGGACTGTTACAGGTAACCCGTCAAACAAATGCTGGATTAAACTAAAAGGCTTACCTTAATACTTCACTCTATATTACACGTTTTAAATTTCAGCGTGTCCCATCATATCTTTACTATTCAAATGTCGTTAGAATTTTAAAAATGTCAGGACATAAAATAAATTTCCTACCTGGAAATGTCGCCCCTGTGTTGTTCATTGATAGTGTGAATATTGCAATTTTCTTGTTCTTTGGTTTTGTCAATCTTATCTAATCTGTCCAACGCTCTTTGCACGTTCAAATTTATTTCAATTATTTTCTCTAACATTCGTTCTTCCAGATAGTTTGCCACCCACGGTTCCTCTGAATACGCATGCATTATATCTGCTATCAGCAGAATATTGAAGGCTATCAACATAAAAAAGCACATATTTTGTGACATGGTGAAAGAAAACAAGTATACTATACTAAGAGGTTAATCGGAAGTTTGTTCTTAATGTATTAAAATCTCCGAGTGTAAAGGTCGACAACAATTTATATACTTCTATAACAATATGTTTCATTTGTCACGCAAATATAAGTTCATACAATCATAAGCGAGGGAAGAGAGAAAAAACCGGCAACAACAACAATGATAATCTTTACTTTCGGAAATTTTACATCTTAAGTGAAACTTCCTTAGTGTAATATGTAACAAGTGATAAACAAAGGAGATCTATGTAACAATCTGCACAGAATATACTAGAAGCTATTGGCTCGTGAGCGGCGAGCAGTTGTGACAATATTTAAATTTCATATCTCGATATTTTATAACCTTTGAAACATGATACTAAGGTCTGCAGTAAATATTGACATTGCATTTATTTCTTGCATATCATACAGGATAAAAGCTGTCTTGCACCCTTTGTGCAAGACAAGTCGCGCGCTTTCAAAATCGTCACTCCCGCGCTCCTTTAACGAACAAAGTGCGTTCTAAAGGTGACGTCATTTTGCGGTTATGAATGAACTTGTAAATTTATACACAATAAGAAAAACATGCTTATTGAAAGTATAAGATTTCTTAATAGTTATTTCTTTCCGAAATATTATTAATATGTAATATGCAAGAAAAGAAACACTAGCTTGCTATCGTCTTAAAAAAGTAAAATATTTGTTGTTCTATTTGTATTTAATTACTTATTTGAAAAGCATGTGCATTGTGAGGTTAATTTTTATTAATTCAGTTTAACAGCTTATCACTTATTCACTTTGATGGTATTACTAAAATCCGGACTCTGAATTTCGTTGTGGTCTACATTGATGCATTTTTGGAATTCACTGGGGTTTTTTGTTATTAATCTTAAAAAAAATATAATACAATATTTTCTACCTTGTTTTAACTTTCTTGCACCTTTTCACCAAGATATAGGAAGCTTATTTTCAGTCACATGAAATTATTTCATAAGATAATGTTTAATGTGTTCGTGATTGAATGCTATAAGACAATTACTTTGCTCCATAGAACACTTTAGAGTAAACAGGTGCGAGGGTTCTTAAACGAACTGATTTACCATTACTAACATAACAAAATGGCTCAGTTTCTATTCCTCATATTTATATTCCTATTCTTAAGCTGCTTAATATTTTGGGTAAATTTCATTAAAGCAGAACAAGGTCTGCCTACATACACATTGTCTTATATCTCACTTTGCACTGTTCATTGGCCAGCAATAATATTTTTGTCTTTACATTTATTGATGATCTATGATAGATACTTGTACAATGGAAGTGCAAATACAGCGATCAGTTTAAGGTTAAATTCGATTTTGTTGTGTTTTGTTTTCAGTTCAAGATGAAGTAAACACTTACACTAATTAATTTACAATAGTTAATACTTTCCATGTAGAAATATTTGTTTGGTGTCGCCTTTGATGCTTAATGCTTTTCTTATTATTCGTAAAATATAAATAAGCTAAATAAGCGTAAGATATCTAGAACATTAGGTTATTCGCCGTTGTTTTAGATGATTTAGGTGGGGCTGGAAAAGACTCCAGACAACTTGTTAGGTTACATCGTATGTAAAGAGGATATTTGTAAGTGAACTTTAAAAACAATATTCTCACTCGTAGCTACGCCACTCGTGAGAATACTGTTTCCAAAGCTCACTCGATGAAATAAAATTTCATCTTACACAACAAACAAACAAATGTTCTTTTGTTTGATGCTTAAAACCAGTTTAAATAGAATTTCCTCAATATTAACGAATTTCTCATAAATACAAAAAGTATTGAGCTGAAAAATAAGTTCTAAAATCAACGTTAAATGGCGATGGTATTATTTATTTTAAACGAAAAATATAAATGATGTCTTTTTTAATCATTGAAATAACTGTAGACATTTTTTCAGACCCCGCATGGGGTTACCCAATTTATTCGCTCCGTCACATAACCATTTGTTGGTCGAAGCACATCCAACAGTGGTTTAACAAATCATTTCTTTATTCAAGCATGAGAATGGGGTATGCCAGAAATGAAACAAGTATATAAATTATTAAACAGACACACAAACAAACACGCAAAGTGACAAGGACAACACATACATTTAAAGTCCAACTCATACGTATTGCTGTGTTCAAAATGTCTAGTTTCAAAAGCATCATCATTATATGATATCTAGTAATGCTATTTTGGTTTGAATTATTGTTTAATACAAACCAATATTTCAGTGTATAAATTATAGGATTTGCTCAGCTTAAAAGGGGTTACTGTCATTTTTTTAAACAAAGACATTTTCCAAAATGACTCCAAACTTTGGTAGCGCTTTTCTTAAAATTACTGTCTCTTTATTAGTCTCTTTATCAGTCTTGAACTTTTAAAGTTTTAACAAGAATGGGACATTTGTCTCAGCAATGAACTTAGTTTGATTAATTTCCGCGAGATTAAAAGAACTTTATTGAGACGTAATTGAAAATGTGTTATTTTTTTCTATGCGTCTGGAAATGAAATTAAGTTTTATGATTAAGATGGATGCCCATTTGTATTAATTGTTTTTTTTTTTAATGACAAGAAAGAATCAAGCCGAGGGCTTGGTCTGACATCCAAGTGTAAGTGCTAAAAACTGGATACCTTAATGTAGTTAAGTACCTCGCTTGTTTTATAGAATAATTAAGAGAACTTTTGGATTTGAATCGTACTTGGCAAATTTAGATAGTTCATTACTGTACTTTTTTATTAAATTTCGAACAAGAAATCATCGATTTCCAATAGAAACGGGAAATTGGTCCAGTACTCCAATTAACCAAAGATTTTGTCCTAATTGTCAAAATAAAATTGGCGACGAATTTCATTATTTACTTGAATGTTGTCAATTTAACGAAGAAAGAAAACGATTTTTGAAAAAAGTATATTATCAACGACCAAACATTTTTAAACTAGAAAATCTTATGTGTACTAAAAACAAATCTGAATTTCTCAAATTGTGTAAATTTGTTAAATGTATTATTCAAAAGATAAGAACTTAACTATTCACTGAAAATACTTGTGTTATTTATATTACATTAGTTCTAAATTTGTAATTATTGATTAGCATGTTTTGTTTGTCACCTTTTATGAGCCTCGTATGATTATATCATTTATTGTAAATTCCTCATATTTGCATGTATACATGTATTGAGAGAAATAAAGATTATGTTATGTTATGTTATGTTGACCTGTGTAAAGTGGTCTGCCAACAACGAGTTTGTAACGCACATTCAGCTGTTTGAATGTTACGTAACCAACATCCTGGTTGTTTTCAAGTAGACATTTTCGAATAGCGGATCGCCGTTATAGGAAAAATCCCGATTGTTACTTTCGTCATAAGTAATCTAATTTAGACGCTTAAATGCATTTTTTTATTTCTTCCGCGTGCCGTTTTGCCCCTTTGTTCGCTACTCAAATATCGATTAGATAAACTACAATTTTATCTGTCATGGCGTTGATGCTGACTTGTTAAAGGTCAGGGAATCGCATTGTAACATGGCCAGCGATTGGCTGAAAAAAAGTGCAGGGAAAACCGTATGAATCACTTTATATATGAGGTGATTGGATGAGAATGGGGTATTTTTAAGTATAAAAACTAATTTAAAAAGTAACACTACATTGTTTTCTGAAGAAAATGAAATATCTCATGAGTCTTTATGATAATTTTGACTTGGATATTTGCATTTATAAAAAGTGTATGTCAGTCCTGTGATCAGCAGAAAATTTCAAAGAAATGGGGGGTAATCCTCTTTGAAGTCATTTTGCAAAAAATTTGGTTGGCTACCACTATATAACAGGAACATTTTTTATGTGTCAGGCATTTCATTCTGCTGGAAAAATCACCTCTTTAGCTTGAAAACTCAATTTTAAAGTAGGATTAGGGACCATTTCTTATAATGTAAGTCTATGGAAATATCAATGTGAGTGTCTGACCTGAAACATGTACTATACAGTACTTTTAATATTCGTCTTACATAATTAAATTTACTGTAACATTCTTCTCTGCTGGACATTAAAAGCAATGATGAAGAACTGCTATGTGAAAGAACAAAGAACACTTTTGAATGAACTTGGCAGTTTAACGAATAGGTCATAGTAAATATGTTTTGAAATTACATGTAGTTTTTTCATTCGACAGAGAGTTCATAAAAATCAGTCATACATATCGTTAATGTAGTAAAGATTGGTTAAGTTTACTTTGTATCAACACAGTAGAGGACATAATATTACTGCGACTTTAATTTTCAGCTGAAATGAAGGAGCGATACCTCAATTGCTCTTTTGTACATTATAGTGGATGGTGTGCACAAATCTTTTTTTTTTAGTTTTATAAGCATGAGAATAATAAATCATCACATTGGTGGGATGTGTGATACTTAGATCTATATCACTGATTTTCCATTACAAGTGTAATTTTGGAAGTATTACGACCCTCGAGTATATTTTCGTGCAGCATAGTTGCAAAGTACAAGGGGATCCCTGCAGAATGTAGATGATTGCATTTAATGACCATCAGTATAGTGATTATAAGATTACATAAAAACACCTATAAATGTAACTATTGGATATGAAAGTGACAATGTTAGTGACAAGAAGATTAATAGAAAAATAATGAAAACATTAACAATCGGCAAATTGAAAATGTTGCAGACTCCATTTGATCGAAGCTGCTCATGGATGGTAGATGTAAAGGGAAAGCATTAACTTAAGTACAACTAAACATTCAAACCTAAAAATGGTGGTTTCTTTGATTAAGAAACATCTTATTTGTTCATAAAGCGATGATTATGGAACTTTCAATGTGACACACATGTGTCATTCTATGAAAACCGGCATATGAGTCCCATGTAAAAGAATGAGTGTGCCTTAAAGGAAAAATATGTTGGGTGGAACTGAAAGAAGGAACTTTTTTTCTGAATTTAAGTAAATTTATTATCACCTTTTCCTCAAGTTGTTGGGTTTGTGTTTTGAAACATCTTGAAATTGTAAATTACTGTAGTGATTAAATGAGTGTGTGTTTTTAACTTTCAAATGTCCATGTAGCTGAAAAATGAAAAATATAGATCTTTACGATATTGACATGTTTTGCGAGCTTTTGATACTATTTCTTTGATTAAAGCTTCACAAAAAGAATTCATTCGTTAAACGTTCTATTCAGATTTTATAAAAATTGCCATGTAGTCGGCTCTTCCAAACATTTCTCTCCCCCAATAGTCAATAGTGTTAATCTTCGAGTAAAGGAATTGTGGATATTTTGGATGGTTATCCCAGTTGCATAAGTTATTTGGGGGTTCTTCTTCAGAAATTACCATGTGACCTAAGTCTTTAGCACAACCACCATAGTGTGAGTTGATTAAAAAGCGACGTTCACCAGATCCAGGTCTGTAATCTCCAGCGATCGAGAAGCGATTAAAGCTACTGGTTGCAGTTAGATCTGTGTAGCTCGATGCAATAACACGTCGTTTATCAAACCAAGAGTTGATATTACTTCCGGCCCCGTTGAATATGACGTAAGCAACTTCTTGGTTGTTTTCATAGTAGGCATACTTGACATACTTTACCCCAATATTGGCCCAGTTTGAGACAATGTTGTTTCTGTAGTGATTCGAGTACGATCTTGCCATAGATTTGGGTTTGTATGAGGAAACGCCAACCCCTATATCATGAAATATATTAAAGTATTAAAGATAGGTTTACAGTGTCAGGTAAAATCGCATAAGTAGATGTATGTGAAAAACAAAGCTGCTTTTTAAAGTAAGCAATAGATGTGACATTATGCATAAAAATTAATATATTATTTCACGCCAATGTAACATTTATGACCAAAAATGGGATGCATAAGATATTGAGCATCGTAAGAGTAAAGCAGCTGTCTTTTTAATTGATTTACACTAGATTACGGGCATGCACCTTTAGCTTTATCGGAAAATTCAAACATCATTCCTTTATCGTAGGAACTCCAATGAGGTCAAAATGCCTTTAAGCATAAAATTTCAAAATCTAACGAATATCAAGTGTAGCACTTAAAATGGTTAAATCTACAAAGGATAAAAATAAATATGCTCGGAAGTTATTTTTACAAAAATCGTAGACGGTTTTGAGCGAAAAAGCGTTACTACACGCATTTGCGTATTATTTTTGGGTCCTTTTGCACTATGAAAATGATCATTCTGGAAGAAACGAGTTAAAAATGTGCACACAAATAACTGGTCTAGACCTACATCACTTGGTACCATATTTTTGGAAAAATGTATTTCCAGTCCTGTCTTGTTTAAAGACTTCAATAGAGTCCTTTAAATTTAATACAACGACTTTTTATTATTATATTAAAAAAATACCAACACATATTCAACAGTATGTTCAGGCGACTAGTACAGCTTTAATTACAGACAATCTTTCGATATTATGATATGAAGCTTAACTTTGAAAAATACTACTCATTCAAATAATTTGTATATTGATTTTATCAAAAGGTATATGTCGTTGTTTTTTCGGACTTCGCTGAGGTTTTCTTTTGACAAAAAGGGACAAAATATTAATATTTGAGATTTGTATTTTTTTGTTTACACATAACTTGTATGCAAAATTTCAGATCATTTGCTAATTTTTTTTTTCGGAATAAATGTTTTAATTGTGAAAAATAACCTGAACAGCGTTTCAAAGCTATTAACTCAACCAAGATTAAGAATCGCACAGAGATACGATTCTTATTTAATTCTGGATAAAATGATATCCTTCACGTGTATTTCCGTTTTAAGTGCCCCATTGAATTTATGGGACAAATTCAAATGTTATTAATTTTGGCTTTTAGACCAATGTGGAGTTCCTTTTAGATGTGAACAAGTTCATAAATTCATACATTTATTCATTATCAAGTTCATGTATGGTATCAGGAATTTACCTTATAAATGGGTTGATTATAGATTGTTATGCTAATACAAAAGTTTTCGAAGTTTTACAGGTTAAGCTTTTTCAAATCCATTAGTCAATAAGTCCACCATGTAAATTAAAACAAAACTTTATGACGAGCAGTTATTGCATTTATCAACATTCTCAATAAATTAATGTAGGAAAATGTTTTAAAAAATAAACATCTATATATTCATCAATCCTGTCATTTTTTCCGATCATGTTATATATTGAATTGGTATATTTTATATAGCATATTTAACTCCATGGCTTTGGTAATAGTTATCTCTGGGTTACACTTGTATATAGTAGGTGCAATTTCTAAACATGGTCTAGATAACAAAAATACAACAACAATACGTAATTAATATCAACACGTACGCGTTTTTTGTATGTGCCAGTTCGATAGCTCAAATACTGATGGTATAACAATTTTATGTCATAGAAATTGTTTCACAAATGATACTTTGCAGATCATACTAATTTAAATTTTGTCACAATTTACATATCTTAAAAAACATAAAAACATTAAAAATGGCATGTGTAATTACTTAAGCATTGTATACAATGTTAAATCTCGTATAAGCTCATCTTTTGATAAAAGTCATACATTGTATAGCAAATGAAAGCATAGGTAGATATATATGTTATAATAGAAAGTAAAATACATTAAAAATTTGCAGCACTAATTTGAATGGAAACAATTAAATCATAAATTTACACTTTTCTTGTTTCAGTAATGTAAATATTTAAAGTAAAGTAAACATAATTATTGCGCACCCTTCGTCCACGCATCATGAACGTTTTGTCCATTACTTGATGAGGCCCGAAATACCATCTCCCATCCGTCTCTTTCTAATTCCTCGACAAACAACACTTTTTGTCCGGAGATAAACAATCTGAAATTGGAGAAATTTGCCAAACTTGCGAAGTTATTTTTTTAAACAAAAACGATGTAAAGTCTTTACAGCTAAAATAATCACCCACTCCTACCCACTCAAAACAAGTATCATTATTACATTCAGCTTACATAAAATCTAAAAGTACATTGAGTGAATAAGATATCATGTGTTTAAGTTTGTAAACAATCGACATTTAACAAATGTTTTGGTGTCTGATCGAATTTAAAGCGTAATATCCATCAAAACCATCATACGGTTTACAAAAAAGTATTGAACACAGCATATGTTATGAAAATTGTATGTGATATTTGTATCAAAAGCCAAATTCGCTGACCATTTGTGTACTATTAACTCACACATTAAAAGATCAGTTTTTGAGAAGTACTCTACAGTTACTCAGAACCACCGGAAAAAAACATTTACTAAACTTAATGTCCAGTGGAATATGTAGGCAGGGCGGTAAGATGGGGTAAAAGCAATGGACGGGAACAAACCCTTGGGTATGAAAGAATTGCAACACTCCCTGAACAAGAAAAATATTGCTATAGTCAACGCATTGTCAGATCATATAACATAAATACTAAACATTTTTACATATAAAATAACTTTTGGGGGTATGTGTTCTCAATTCCTAGTATCATAGATAAAGAAACAAAAACCCGCTTTTCATTCACCTCTTACAGTGGAATAAAATCTGTAATATTCTTTTTACTTCGTCCGTAAAAAATATCGATTGAGATATGCGTTTCCTGTTAGATGTCAGATGTTTATTTAAAAATGAAAAATGATATTCCAGATATTGAATCAAAATGTCCACAAAAATTTGCCCCCGTACTTCATTTCAAAGTTTTTATATTTTGCAATTCCTGTTGATAATTCGTTCTACTTCTCAAATTGTTTGGGAATTGAATATCGCCTAGGTTCTTGCTAGGGAACGTAACGATATTGCACACTTCGTAATCTCTCATGATCAGGGGGAAAAACGGGTTTACAATGGTTAACTATACATGTTTCCTTTGATTCCTTGCTGTTGAGAGATTTATACTTTCAAGATTGTGTATAGAAAACAAAACACCCCAAAGGTTTCTTACCTTGTAATTTCACCGTTTTGTCGCTCTGCGTCAGCTTCATTCTTATCCAGTCTTTCAAACACTTTCTGTATGTTCAAATTCATTTCGGTCATTTTGTCATACAAAAGTTCTTCAATTGGTCTTGTCGACAAAGGTTCATCCGACAAACCATGTTGAACATTTGTTACAAGCATAAAGAATAGACTGACAAATGAGTGAAAACTGTTCATTTTTTCCAAATAACAAAAAGGTAAAGAATACTATGTTAACCTAATATGTGTCCTTATATACCCTCTAAAGATTGAAATATAATAACGTAAACGTCAACAAATCAAGTACAGGTATTATATCAGGAAATTATCTTATCAATGGGTTTATTATAAATTGTGTTGTTGATACAAATGTTTATAAATTTGTGCAGGTTTATTTAATTCAAATCTATTAGTCAATAAAGTCCAAGAGATAAACACACACAAACAACTTTAGGATGAACAGTTAATACATTCATCAATTTTCTTATTTAAGTAATTTAAGTAAAAGTGTTTTTAAACCGTAAAACTGTATATATTCATCAATTCTGACATATATTCGACCTGTAATATATTAAGTTTATATATTTAATATAGCATATTAAAATGCATGACTGGTGGGCTATGCAGAACAAGGTTGTTGCAAGGGTCGCGAAATTATATGACATTCTTTCCAAAAATGTGATCTTTTCTCCGGTGATCTCATAATTTTGTTATAGTTAATAACCTTTACTCATAATTGTACATTTGTTCTCCGCCGGAGTATTTAGTTATAAATCATGTTTTTTTTCTCTCGTGATATTTGTTTTCGCGGGTATTATTACATTGCTATATAAATCAGAATTTTGTGACACGAGACAGAGCCCCTCAGGATCTCGAGTTCTTATGGATAATATTTAGTTTAAAAAGTCATATTTTATTCTGTAGGTTTCAAATTTATAAAGTGTTACAAAAATAAACATTTGGAAACTATACGTCAATGTTTGTGCTCTCTATTCAAATACTGTCATGTGACTGGAGTAATGCAAAGCGTTATTAATGTATACTCCACCACAAAGATCAACCTTCATATTCTTTTAGTTTTATCTCAGTCTGCACGGTTCCCTAGTCAACAATAATATTTTTATGTATCCATTTATTGATGATAAATGGTTCTATTATTCAAAATCGAAGTGCAAAGCCCTAGTCAGTTACAGCCAACTGTATTAGGTAAAATTTGATTGTGTTGTTTATTCCGTTCAAGATGAAGTGAACACTGACACTAATTAGTGTACGATAGATAAAACTTTTCATCTAGAATTATAATTTGCCGTTGCATCAATGCTTTTCTTGTTATTTGTAAAAAAACATACTAGATTAAGAAAAGCATTAAGTCATTCACTGTTGTTTTATATGATTAAGGTTTGGACTAGATATGAGTATTGGAATAGACTCAAGGCAATTTGTTAGGATGAAGAACGTAAATATATCTTTCGGGATTTTTTAAATAATCTGCTTTAAAGCCGAACATTGCGGCTAAACTGAACGTCAAATATTACACAAAATTTACAATTTTCTTTCCATTTTTCAAACATTTTTCGGCGTAAAACAATTAATTTTATATCAGATTAAAGGAAAAAATAATTTCCGTCGAATGCTGTTGAATTTAAGACATTTTGTCCACCAATGGCGTTGAAATACCCGTAAAAGTTGCCAAGGATACACAACGACGTCATGTTCAAAAACGGGCTTTGATGGTCAATTTTGACGCCGTGTGTACAAAAATTTGCTGAAACTATTGAAATAAAATCAACGGAACCTTATCAGAAATATAGTCAACTGTTTGCTTGCCAATTTTCAAGACGCTACTCGAAAGTTTGCAAAGTGTCGCGTTCTACCTTAAACTACAAGTCTCACGTGATAAACATAAATTACATCTAACATCTTTCTGTTATTGACTGAATTACATTTTAAAAGTGTTGTTTAATCCAAGAAACGATAAAATGATACAATTTTTCTGTGCAATGCTAAAAGGTAAAAGGTTAATGTAAATATATATATAAATATTTTAAGTATATTTATTAAGATTTCATTTATATTATCGAAAGCTAGACGTTGCTCCGCTTTTCTTAATCTTCACAAACTTTTGACATATTGCTAATGGTTTATACCAGAAGTAAAACAAAAACATAATTAAAGGAAAAAATACAACAAAGAAACAACAAAATAGACAAAACACACACACACACAAAGTGACGAAGACAACACATGCATTAAAACTCCCACTCATACAAATTACTGTGTTAAAAATGCCCAGTATCAAAAGCATCAACATTATATGATTTCTAATACATGCAATTTGGTTTGAATTATTTCTGAATATATAAAGTAAAAACCTCACCTCTGTGGGTTCGAATCCCGACAGGGACTTTGGATTATTTCATGTGAGGAAGCTATCCAGCTAGCTTACGGAACGTCGGTGGTTCTACTCAGGTACCCGTTCGTGCCTGAAATAATGCACGGAAGGGCACCTGAGGTCTTCCTCCACCAGTAAAGCTGGAACGTCGCGATATGACATATACTATAAAACATTTCTTTAGTGTAGCAATAGGATTTTCGCAGCTTTAGAAAAGGTTACTGACATTTTTTTTTAAAACAAGGACATATTCTTTTAAAGGACTCCAAACTTTATTAAACTTACTGTCATGCGTTATATATAATTTCTTTCTGTTAGTCTCGAACATTTCACATTTTATCAAGAGATGGACATCTGTCTCAGTAATAAGTTTGGTTTGATTCATTTTCCGCGATAGTAAAACTTTATAGAGGCGTGATGGATTCCTCTGGAAATCGTTTCAAATTTCACGATTAAGATGGATACCCCATTTATATTTAATGTTCAAAGTTTTTTTTATTGACAAGGACGAATCGACCCGAGGCACCCAAGGCTAGTGTCTGTGTTAAAAACTGTATATCTATATGTAATTAAGTACCTCGCTTGAACTGTGTAAAGTTGTCTGTCAACCACGAGTTTGTAAGGCACGTTCAGCTGTGGTGAATGTTACGTAACCAACTTCTTGATTGGTTTTTAAAAGTAGACATTCTCGACACACCATGACAGAAACAACGGGGAATCGCTATTATTTATTTCCCGATTGCATTCTTCATTTCTACCGCTTTCACCTTTGTCCGCTACTCAAATATTGGCTAAGTTTAAGACAATAGCATAGTGGCTTGAATATGATCGTGTCGTCGCTGCTGACTTGTCAGAACATTGTAATATACAGTTACTAGTACTAACTTACGATAAACTGTTTCGAATTGCAATTTCGGTTTCGTAATTTTTGTGTTAATATAATAAAACTTGAAAATAGATATCAAAGAAAATGTTTGTGAACAATTTCACCAAAACAGGTCTCATTCGTTCAACGTTCTATTAAGATTTGATAAAAATTGCCATGTAGTCGGCTCTTCCAAACATTCGTCTGCTCCAATAGTCGATTGTGTTAATCTTCGAGTAAAGGAATTGTGGATATTTTGGATGGTTATCCCAGTTGCATAAGTTATTTGGACGTTCTTCTTCAGATATTACCATGTGACCTTGGTCTACAGCACAACCACCATAGTGTGAGTTGATTATAAAGCGACGTTCACCTGATCTGGGTCTGTAATCTCCAGCAATCGAGAAGAGGTTGAAACTTCTGGTTGCAGTTAGATCTGTATAGCTTGATGAGATAACACGTCGTTTATCAAACCAAGAGTTGATATTACTTCCGGCCCCATTGAATATGACGTAAGCAACTTCTTGATTGTTTTCATAGTAGGCATACTTGACATACTTTACCCCAATATTGGCCCAGTTTGAGACAATTCTGTTTCTGTAGTGATCCGAGTACGATCTTGCCATAGATTTGGGTTTGTATGAGGAAACACCAACCCCTGAATTAAAGATTTATAATAGAACTATACTAATACAATAAATACAATATTAGCAGCATGCATATCATATGGGAACATTTTATTCAAATATTCTTTTCGCTAAACATGTGAAAATGTGAAATTTTACTTACTGTGAAATTATCAGCTTTAATATAGTTTTCATAGATAAATCAGTATATCTCTTAAAAGCATGGATAAAATATAGGTCATCTTACGAAAGCCGTAAATGTAAAAAGCCACCTGTATGCTATTAACCAATACTGAGCCTTTTTGATAACTTCCTGATTTATGATAATTAAGCAGTATGAAGAAACCAAAGACAAATATATTTTCATTTTATATCAGATAAATGTGTTCACAATTGATCTTTTGCAGAGCATACCAGTTTGCATACTTTATCGTCAACTGTAATAATATTACTGTAGCTAGCTATAGGGTAGATGTTTTGTTCAAGCACAGAACGATTATGATTTTTATACTACACTAAAGTTCCTCTGAAAGATTATTATTATAGTCATAGATTGTTTAGAAAATATCAATGTAGACGTATAAAAGTTCTAATTACATAAAAGAATATTTAAAAATTACAGCAATTGTTTGAATGTTGTTGTGTGTTTTTTTTGTTCTTGTTGTTTGATTTGTTATTTTGCTGTTTTTTGTTTTTGTTTTGTTTTTGTTATTGTTGTTTTCTTTGTTGCTGTTACTTTTCACTGTAAGCTTGCTCGCATTTTAAGGTTTAAAAAAATAATTCTTGCACACCTTTGGTCCACGCATTATATACATTTTGCCCATTACTTGATGAGGCCCGAAATACCATCTTCCATCCGTCCTGCTCAAGCTCCGAGACAAGCAGCACCCGTTGTCCAGGAGTATTCAATCTGTAATAAAGTTAATAGTTTGATCAATGGCTCGCTCGTTTGGTCTCGGTCCTGCTGAATTGTCTGAATAATTATAAATTTCAGGCATTAAATTGCTGCTTCAAAATTAAATGGAAATTGCGTCAATGCTCAAGAATATTAAAAATTCACAAAGGGCTATAATTCATTTAAGTTCTATACCAGAGTTAGCCTTTGATAGTGACCTCCAAATATGATCTCAAGACATTTATTACGTTTTATGTGAATATTTTCAGTTTTCTTTCGAAAACTGATGTTAAAGTTTCAAATGAATACCTACCACTACATACATGTCGTTTCAAAACTTTAACCAAGACTTTTCTAACTTCACATTGTGACAATTATTCAGTCTAAATCTAAATTAGGTTCACGGGGTTTAGAGTGTGATCTCCAATTATGATCACGAAAACATAAATTCATATAAACATTTGTATTTGGTTTCAATTGTTCTTAAAAAATGATGTTACAGTGCCAAGCAATAACCAAGAATTTTCCGAGTTCACAAAGAGTCTATTAATCAATCAAAATCTATGTCAGAGTAATGGTCCTTGGAAAGTGACCTCTATTCATGGCCACGAAGACATGCATTAAGATTAAAGTAAATTCAGAAGGTTCGCAAAGGGTCATAATGCAGTAAAATCCAAGATAAGGTACTGATTTTGGATAATTTTTGTCTTGGATATTGACATCTACTTCTCATGCCAAAGACATGATGCCAAAGACATAAATTAAATTTCAATTGAACACTTCATTACATAATTATGATCGTCACTTTTCAATGATATTACATGGAAAACTTTAAGCAGGACTTATTTAACATGCGCATGGAGACATCAATTGCATTACACATATGCCAAAACATCAAAGACCGGATATGGTGACCACGATAGTATCCTATTTCAATAAGTTGTAATGTGATTGTTTTCCGACTGGTTTGCATTTATTATAAAAAAAATATTAAAAACGTGACTGTCCAGAAAACTAAATGATAAATTTCCAACATTGGCAGTAATACAACAATGCGATAAAGCGAAAACACAACAATGCGAAAAAGTCAAAATATAACAATGCGAAAAATCGGAAAAAAACAACAAAAAAAACAACAGATGAAATGCAAATAGACGCCAGATTTTGCGTGTCGTATTGCCGCCCTTCTTCTCACGTAATTTCGACTTTTCGCCTCGAAAATCCGAAAAAGCGAATACACGAAGAGATGACAAAAAACAACAACATTAAAACGTGCAACCACAGCGCGTCGTCACGAGAATCTATCCGTTACTGCATGTTTGTCCTCCTTTAATGTAAACCTGCATGCACGCTCACATGCAAGACATATAAAAAAAATAGCTACAACAGTTAACGTATCTTGTATGGCATAAAATTGTAAATATTATAAGGTTATTCAACATAGTTGAATCGATACTGAATTCTATTAAACGAGTAAGCAGCTGTCAAACCTATATTCAACGAGAAGCGTGCCGTGTCTGATATAAGTCTTTCAACCTTCTTTGAGTTAAATATAATCAGTATTCAACTAAACAAAGATAAATTACTTCATGATTGCACGCTACAATTTTTACATTTAAACTTAACTTTGTCATTCGCGTACAGTAAGGATTGATTTTTATGGGGGTTTTAACGAGGCTAGACGGATGTCATTCAGCCGATCCAAAATTCTATATCAAATCATTATTTTAGTCCATTTAGGCTCCTTTCAATTTTGCAACTCCAGATATTCCGTATCAAACCACTGTTGTACTCCATCTAGCCTGCTCTATTGCGAAACAAGTTCTTGCACCTTATATTATTAACTTTCGAGTCCGCTTCCTGTAACCAACCAGTACTTGTGTCATATGAAGAAACATGGTCGTGACTCGATAAGAGCGCGGACCAATAATCCCTGGGTTGAGAGACAGACACCTTATCACTATTCCACCGCTCCACCTTTCGGATCGGTTAAATGAAAATGAGGCAAAATTGAGATTGGATCCAATAAAAATTTATATGGGGAGATCACAAGGTGCAAACGTTCATTTTTTACATTCTACAAGTTGTGAAATAAATATTCGTGTCCAAAAACTCCATATCAAATCCATATTGTACTCCATCAAACATTGTTTTCTTTTTCTGAGTCAAAAAACAAAGTTTATCTCTCTGTTTAATAAATCCATATTTTACTCAAAGTATAGATCTAGCATATTATTGCTCAGAAAACGAATATTTGTTATTTCAGGTTATTTCAATGGTAGACAGCTTAACCGTAAGCCTTGACAAACGGTATTTAGAATATAATTTCTAATTATTTCCTATTTAGTTATCTCCTTATTTCCTAGTCTTTGAAAATATGTCATTTTTGAAGAAACTTAGTTTAGATAATAGGAAATAAGCAAACAACTCATTACCAATTCTTGAAATTTTGTACAATCATTCGAAAGTAATTAAGTTTTTATATATAGATTTTAAACAAAGGAAAAAAAAAGTAATTTCTAACCTTGACTGTGAATTATCTACCCTTGCAATAAATAAACACTAACTTTATGTTTAAAGCAGCGTGTCAATGTCTCCAGATTCTTACTTATTTTCATGAAAATTTTAGAAATGTATTTTTAAGTAAAGTTTTGTGAAGTGAAGCACATTGCAATCGACACTTACAATCCACGTAAACCAAATAGAGAATAAAATCTGCAAAAACAGCCCAGTCACGCAGAAGAAAAATTATGATAAATATTGCAAAAAATGTCATTAATCGTGCATAACATGTAAAGTTTTACTTGAATCTTGAAACTTTTCACATTTCATAAAATCTTCTTACGTTTTTTCAAGGTTGAATTTCATGAAATATTTCGGCTCATATGGAGGCATGCAGCTTTAAAAGTACACTTTCAAATGAACAATACTGAATTTTACAAAAGTACACAGCTGTAAAATATATCATGGACGAAGCGCTAGTTGTGTACGAGTCCAATATAATCGGTATGGTACTCAACAATAGGCCCTATACGAGTATACGAAGGTCTTCATTTCATTAAAACAATTTTCTTTTTGAAAAGAAAATAATTACTGACACTATATTTCTTTCGAAATAAAGGACTGGTTATCAGTTTCTCTACGTGTTATAGGGTTTGTAAGCGAACAGCATGGATCCTGATCAGACTGCGCGGATGCGCAGGCTGGTCTGGATCCATGCTGGTCGCAAACCCATTATGTTGGTTTTGTCATGACGCGGCTCATATAACTTTGATTTCGCTTTGTGTTATTTCATTGTGATAATTTACATAAATATTCAACATATTTCACCCGTGAAACAATAATCTGAGCTATGAGCTCTTATCGACTGAGTACAATATTTGCCACAAACAAATATAATATCATCTCTATACTTTCCTGTTAAAGTAACAACCCGGTAAAAAAATTCAGTTTAAGTGGTAAAAAAATTGAAAATTGATATTCCAGATAGAAAAACTATAATAAGATTTTAAAAGTGATCGAAGGAGAAAAAACATGCCTTGAATTATCACTTTTTTGTTGTTCTTTTTCACTTTCAAGCTTATCCAATCTTTCCAATACTTTCTTCATGTTCATATTAATTTCCATCATTTTGTCAAACAAAAAGTTTTCAACGGACCGTGTTGACAAAGGCTCACCCGACAAGACAATTCTAACGTCTGCTACAAGCAGACAAAATAAACTGGCAAATAACAGAGACCTACTCATATTTTCCTAACACGAAACAGGATAAATGCTATACTGGCCGGATCACGAGGATGAATGCACTTATAAAACATCCTGAACAAAGAGAATGTCATTACATAATCGTCAACAAATCATTGCATTCTTATTTTTAAGTTAGATTGTACGATTTCTTCATTTTTTACATAGCCAAATAAGGAAAAATTGAAAAAGTAAACAGATTTTTTTCTTAAACTTTGCATGATTTAGGAATATCATTAAGTAAACAAATTAAAAAAAAACCCATCGTGGTCACGGTCCTTCTTTTTTAGTTATCTGCCGTTCAAATCAGCTCAAATTATCATTAATATTGAGTATGTGTACTTGATAATAATAATAATAATAATAATAATAATAATAATAGTTCGTTTAATTGCATTATGGGACATGTAAATAGTACTTTTTGACGAGATGTTTATTAAGCACAGTCAAACGGAATAAGTGTTTCATTATAGAAGAAATTTAAACATTATTACGTACTTTGTATTCACATATAACTAACTGAAGAAATTTACGGTGCTAAATTTTTAGTCAGAGTATGAAAAAAACGTGAGTTTGAATTGGAAATTGGGTAAAAATTAATAAAAGTGTTTATGATATTCTGCAAATAAATTCCAGGTGATTCTTATAAAATCTAATACCTTTTTTCCGAGTCCCTTACAGATGGTATCGTTATTATCTTTTTAATTTATTTATTATTATTATTTTCATTATAATTACAATTATTATTTATTTTTATAGACCGTTTTACACTGTAATATTTCCATAGAAACGAAAGTAGCATTTCGCGCATGTGCATTCTCCGTAGGGCAAAAACGAAAGAATAAATTTTATCAGTTTTATAATTTAATACAATATAAATGATTAAATTGCAGTTCTGAATAGTTTACTAGAATAGTTTACTTGATTAATAACCGAGGCAATAGTGAATCTAAGTAATCAACTTGAACATTTCTGCATTTACTCGTTCATTATATTTGAAAGACACTTTATGATGCTTTCGATTCTGACAAGAGAACCTTTTCATACAAGCATAAGAATTAAGTATCTTTTGCATTTTAAAAGTGTGCTGAAATGCGTCACGTGGATATATCATCCTTTAATTTATATACTCGTTATTTGAAGGTGTCATTATTGTGAGTTTCATCATTGAAAGATATACTATGTTCAAATTTGAAGTTAGAAAATATTGATTATTGCGACACAGTTTCTTTGAAAATATAAAATAAACATGTTTTTACTTCACACAAAGTAGTTATGTTTAAAACTCTACACGTAAAAGATGGTCACAATATAAATATTAAGTGCCCTTTAAAGAACTTGCAGTTTTTTTAACTTGATCTGTAATAGGGAAAACAGCTCCCCATAAATAGTTTTTTTTATTCAAATTAGGCATATTCAGTAAGAATTTCATAAATTTCAGTATAGGGTCTCGACAGCTTCCTTGGCATCTTTAAAAGAAATTGTTAAACTAATTGGATTGTTGAATTAAATTGAAATGAGCCGTGTCATGACAAAACCAACATAATGGGTTTGCAACCAGCATGGATCCAGACCAGCCTGCGCATCCGTGCAGTCTGATCAGGATCCATGCTGTTCGCTTACAAACCCTATTACAAGTAGAGAAACTGATAGCGAACAGCATGGATCCTGATCAGACTGCGTGGATGCGCAGGCTGGTCTGGATCCATGCTGGTCGCAAACCCATTATGTTGGTTTTGTCATGACATGGCTCAAATATATTTAACATTTTAATCTTTTAGGTACTGACGTAGCACTTTATTTGCATTAACAAAATTTAACATGTATTTTACTTTTCTGTGACCTTAACAAGAGCTTGGGTTTACTTTAATTTTTACAAGCTAAATATGACACAAAAGTGATAAAAAGATACACGCGAGCGTAAAATGGTAATTGTAAAGCAATGACAAATAAACAAAGTTGGGTTTGGCTGGTTTATCTCTACATAAGAATGAGTTATGGTTTAAAACAGGCAACATATCGTGCTAAACAAATGAAAAAAAATGTTTTATCTATTTATGAACAACCACAATGCTTTGTTTAAACATTTTTGAAACATTTCTCTTTGTAGACTATCTAAAAGATACCGATACTTGTCTACCTAAACAAACAATGCGCGTATTGAAAAATATAATTTCCTTAAGATGTTTACTTACACACCTTTACCCTTTCGCAGTTGTTTCTTTACGTGTTTGACAAATGATAATTACTCTTTGGTGTAGGAACTTCCTGATTTAACAATTGATGATATACGAAGTAAACAAGTAGTGTACATGATAAAATGTACTCTGCCTATTATTGACAATTTTCAATGTTGTAAGTATCCTATATTTCTCTATAAATCAAATTTGCATGCATGATGTTTTTTTTTCTATAATGAAACGGTTATTCTTATTCCGTCAAATAAAGATCTCGTCTTTTTGCATCTCCCATGATTTCTATTAAGCGAACTATTATCATTATTATTATTATTATTGTTGTTGTTGTTGTTGTTGTCGTCGTCGTCGTCGTCGTCAGCAGCAGCAGCAGCAGCAGCAGTAGTAGTAGTAGTAGTATTAGTATTAGTATTAATAGTATAAGTAATAAGTATTATTATTATTAGTAGTAGTATTATTATTGGCGTTATTTAAGTACACAATTCAGTTATATTCTGAGCCCAACTGTTCAACTTTTTAATGTTTTTTATACCAAATCAACATAAATTTTTGTTTTCTTCTCAATGGATATCGTCCTAGTTCTCCACACAAACCGGTGATATTAGATTATTTTTAACTATAAGCGTCATATGCAAAATTAAAGTGAAACGTCCAAAATATCTATATACGTACATGTATCTATTCATGCAATCGAAATTGTCATTTCGGCGATATATTTAACGAAAATTCAAACATATTGTAACAAATTAGCCGTTTCTTTTTGCATATGGAGAACAACATTATCCACATGTGTAACAAAATAGTTTTAAATTACTAATATTAACATAGCAATAGATAACATTGCTATGAGAAGCTTAAAAATGTCACGTAGGATTCAAAATTAGTGTCAATATAATTCATATAAAATTATTATAACAAATCTAAACTCTTTGTTTAACTAAAATACTAAAAGAGAAGTATTATTAGATTTGTTTACTGATATCTGTCGATTTCAGTAAGAGTTTACCGTTTATAAAATATGGATAAAAGTACTCTTTTCTATCTTTTTAATACATGTATATACTTTTTATACGTATGGACAATAATTATACTCAACATCCCTAATTCCGCGCCATCACTTATTTCACTGTAATAGCATATTTTCATGTGACAAGTGTTAAAATTGGTTAGAATTGACATATTTTAATCACTTAGCTATACAACAAAGTTTTTGTGCAAAATATTTTAAATCTCTAGATTTTTACGTAAAACAGAACAACATTTTACAAATATCTGCAAAAAGCAACAATAGTCCATTAAATATGTGCATATGTCTGAAACAATAATCAGTTTCTAAGTGTTCTTGTTTGTTGAACAAAAAAAGTTTGAGTTAACGATAATTTTAATATTTAAAATCAAGCAAAACAACATGTAGAAATGTTAACTGAAACATGAAAAAAACTGAAATGTAACACCATTACGGCGATTTAAATGATGACATAAGTTTTCAGAATGGCCGACATATGGTTTACGTTTGGCCCTTTAAAATTGACTTTGACTGAATTTATTGTTGTTTCCTTGTGCTATACAGCAGAAAATTCCTACATGTTTTAGCTTATGACAATTTTTGTACCATAAGTTTCATTTGTTGTTTTTTTTTCTGGTTTCAAAGCGTTAAGTATCGTGAACTAAGAGGAGCACAGTATAAATGACATACATCCTCAATTATATTTTTTGTTGCTTGATTCTAATTGTGAATTATAAATAAATGATTTACCGCTAACTATCTAAAACGTCAAATGATCCGCAATAACGATTCCCTCGCATCACAGTTTGTTTGGGTTCTTTTCTGTTGAAAATGTGTCAGAGTGCGTAAATTGGCCAGAGTGTAGGTAGGTATTAGGGATTAAAAAGGACATGCTTGTTGAATGACGCCTTTTTTCCGGGGTATACTTATTTTTACGACAGGGAAAGAGATACAATAGAAAACGGGGAACGTGTTTTATTTTTTATTTTTGTCAATGATACAAAAGAGAAAGAACATCAAAACAGTTGGCAATTAGATTTATACTCGGGGCCTATGCCCTCTTTGTACAAATCAGTTAGTCTCGCGTTCCGTTGCTCTTTCTATAACCTGAATACAATTTTATAATAGTAGTGCATAACTTGTATTTTGTTTGGTATGACATATAATTATTTGCGACATAATGGTACTTGACATTGCAGTGAATAAAATGCTAAAACGTCTTGCACACTGATTGGTTGACAAATCTTTCAATGGCTTTGGGTTACCTGGTCTATACAGAATAAAAAAGAGGGCATGCTTCCTATTAAACTAATAGTGACTATAGCACAACGCAAACATGCATAATTATAAGTTTTTAGACTGTCTACTTGTGCTGCTTATTGTAGATATAAAATATGTGCACTTAGAGGAAATTTCGGAGTCAAAGGGTTTGGGAGACAAGTTTTTAGAAAAAATGATTGAAATTAATTTGAATGTACAAAAAACACTTGAAAGACTGGATAAGAAGATTGATAGTGGGAAAGAACGAAATAGGAGCGTACTCTCAAGGTAAGAACAGTTATTATCTCTCCTAACATTCTGAGATCATATGATAAATCTAAATAAATCTGAATGTATCTATATAGATTTCTATCTCTTCTTGTGTGTGTGTGTGTGTGTGTGTGTGTGTGTTGTGTTGTGTTGTGTTGTGTTGTGTTGTGGTGTGTGTGCGTGCGTGTGTAATTAAAAAGTTAGCTTGTTTTTTATGAAATCTTTTAACAATTACACATTTCAGATTGTTGACCTCGGAACGACGGGAGTTGCTTGTTGAAGATCTCGAAACAGATGGTTGGGAGATGATTTTCCGAGCTACATCATGTAATGGGCAAAACGTGTATAAAGCCTGGACAACAGGTGGGTAGTTTAAAAGCACATTAATCCTAAGAATTGAATATCTTATATCAAACATATGTTTGATACTTGATAAATGATGGATTTATACTTCATAAATGATGGGTTTCAGGCATCTTATATGTTTTTGATTTTAAGAAACTGTGTCGCCTATTCAGAAAATTACACAAAACGGACTAAAAACAGAAAGTTTTTTTAGGTCAGACCGCTGATGTTCGTCTGTAAAAAAAATTTTGAGTCCGTTATATACAACGCAGACACTCTAAGAAACTTCACGCAATTACAATCCACATGCATTACATTTACAGATGTTTCATTGGGGGGTTTGTTTAAATGTCTAGCATCGTTTAGCGATTCAATTTCATGAACACTTTTTGTTAAGATTCTATCTCGTTTTTTCATGTATTGATATCAGTCAGTTTGCATAAAATATTTTACAAATACAAGAACAAAAAACATTATAAAAATAAAACATACAAAATCACAATGATGAACGGCATGCAATATCTCAGACGACAACTTAAATGATGAAATTACATATGGCGAACATAATAAAATATATTTAGCTATCTACAACAAATAAATGCGTTAATTAACAAGGTGAATTAACAGTACAGAAAATGAAATATAATAAATATATGAAAATCAGTGTCAGAGGTAGTGGGTCCATTTTGCGACATTTTCTTCGTAAGCATTGCAGCTTGTGAACACACCAGAGCAATATATTTTGTCGACGACTGCATGAAAATGCAATAGAACTACAAATATTAATAAATTTAGAGGAAAGTCAGGAGGGTAGAATTGCATTTCGGTTTATTTATCTATTTTATGTTTTTTTGTCTTCTAAAAAAGAATTTGTATCTTATAAAAAAATAAAAATGTTGACAACTAAAACTGTGATCAACCTTTTTTTCGCTTTCACATACGGGGGTTAAAGTGCATTCTGGATAAGCGGATATTCACATATATTTTACCGATGCTCAATTTTGAGATCCATATGAGATTTATATACCCCGAGTAGCATTACATTAACAAACAAAAGCTGCTGATTCAAAACGTTATAAGTTTACATAGTATCATAGACTGTAACAGGCTCATCCATTGTTAAAGTTGACTGTAATCACATAATTTCGAATACATAATGTTATATATTATACAAGTTATACTCAGTTTATATATTTATCCTTTTCTCACTCCAGTACTTCCTCATTTAATACACTGTCATTTAAATGTTAACAGATATAGCCTTCTAATTTGAGAATAACAACAAAACAATTAGCCCTGATTATTAACGACGAATGGTATTTTTATCTTAATTCTTTTCTTATCGGCAGGGGCTAGTACATGTTCCGACAAGCCAGCTTCAATGGAGCGATCATATTCGAGTCACTTCAGAAACAATATTGTCTCAAACTGGGTCAATATTGGAGTAAAGTATGTCAAATATGCATTCTACAAAAACAACAAAGAGGTCGCTTATGTCAAATTCAATGCAACCGGAAGTAACATCAACTCCTGGTTCGACAAAAGTCGAGTTCTAGCCTCCAGTTACACGGATTTAACATCAACAAGTGTTTATAATATATTCTCGATTGCTGGATATCACATTCCAGGAAGTTTCGAGCGTCGCTTTCATATCAACAAAGCTTATGGCGGATGTGACGTAGATATTGGTCATATGGTTGTTTCAGAAGAAATCCCTCCCAAAAAAGGATGTTTCTGGGATATTCATCCAACATATCCACAATTCCTGTATTCAAAAATAAATTCTGTGGACGTCTGGAACAGGAGAATGTTCGGACGAGCCGATTACATGGCAATATTTATAAACATCTAGATACAAATATGAGCTTTGAAAAATAAAACTTTTTTCTCTTCTTTTATGACATTGTTAATGGCGTAAACAATTTATCTTTGGTTTATAAACTATGTCAATAAGTAAGGTTTTTCAGTCATTATTTTTTTTTAAATACATATAAGTTACTCTGGCATGATTGTTTTCAGTATTATTGTATAAAAAAAAGCTCCTTAATAATATTACAGTTGAGGGATATGAAACAGTTTGTTGCATACGCTAAAATCAACGGAAATAAAACATTATCTAACACAAAAAGTGTTCTTCTTTTCTAGTGTTCCATCTAGCTCTTGATGAAATATCCTACCTGACCAATAATATATAGGAAATACACATGTATAGTTCATATTGAAGTGACCTTATAAATAATTGTACTTGCAATTCTTTAAGTTGACTTTTAAATCAAAATGTCATTTTAAGATTTTAAAATTATAACATAACTATGATAAAATTTAGTGTGTATGGACAATATGTCACTAAGAAGTAAGAAATTTAAAATACAAAAAAATATTAGATTTAACTTAATCATGCAGTATGTGAAAAGAAATTGACGTTTCTTTCAAAATTTAAAATAGAATACTATACAACGCGGTGATAAAATATAATGCAACACATAATTCAACAGAAAACAGTACAATAAAACACATTACAATAAAATGAAATATATGCATTGTACAATAAATACAATACGATACGATAAAAGTCAATTAAAATGAAGTGCAATGTAAATACACACCGATACAGCACAGCACAGTACAGTACATTTCAGTTCAGCTCAGCTCAGCTCAGTTCAGTTCAGTTCAGTTCAGTCCAGTCCAGTCCAGTCCAGTTCAGTTCAGTTCAGTCCAGTCCAGTCCAATCCAGTTCAGTTCATTCAGTTCAGTTTAGTAGAGCACAGTTCAGTACAGTGCAGTGTTCAAAGTGCAGCGCAGTCCAGTCCAGTACAATACAGAGCAGACTAGCGCAGTACAATACAGTACAACTCAATTAAATACAATACAATACAAAACAATACGATGTCCTTCAACAGATCAATCAATTTCATCCTGCAAAACTATGCTGGCGATAATGAAGAGGTGTCATCTCTGTTATCTAACATCATTCCATATCCTTATCTCCTGTAGCTTTAAAGTATACTTGCTTTATCCTTGCAGTAATAAACATATGATAAATGTTCCGTAAACTTTTTAAGTGCTTGCAGTCTATACATTATGACCGTTAACAATGGTATTATCTTTAGATTCGACATTCCTTAGTTTGCACCTATCCTTTTTGACAGGGTGCTTAATTGACTGAAATACTTATTCAAGAAACAAAAATACAAAAATATATATGTTTTATTGAAATAAACTATGATGTTATGTATACGAAGTCGAACGGCTTGAAAGGAGGCAACTTTGGAGCGAGAGTTTTAATAACCCCGCCAAACCGGCAGCATTCTTTAGTATTCGGATTCATAACATGTGACCTTTAAATAGAGGATATTGAATGAGTGTTGGTTTAATACTGAATTTATTGAACTAGTTAAATAAATTATATCATGCGTGCCTCTGGTGAGCATAATACAATTTTATTCAACGAGTTTAAAAAATTCAGTAATGCACTTACACGAATTTAATATTCTATTTATCACATACATAAAATAAAGACCTTTTGAAGCGGACAAGATACATTTTCCATTGACGCGCCCATAGTATAAGGCTTACATTTAGCGCGTTTTCAAGTATATATGCTCGGCCTTGCAATATCATTTTTACGGAGTCGCAAAAGCGGCACGGGTATGTGATAAAACAGAGAACTGGCCGCTTTTAAAATAGTTACTTTCATTGAGTTATTTGAATAGGTCTAATTCTAATATCAAACATAGGTATGGGCGGTCCGGTCCTGTATGTAATAGAAAGAGCACCGAAACACGAGGCTATCTGATTTGTACGAGGGGGCGTAGCCCCCGAGTATAAATCAGATTGCCGAGTGTTTTGGTGTTCTTTCTCTTTTGTATCATAGTCAAACATGACAGCACGTTCCCTGTTGTCATAATATGAAACCCCAGAAAAAATTAACCAATGAACGAGCATTTGAATATGATAGTTCTGCCCCTTTCCCTGTCTCTGCCGTCACAATATGTAAACCCCGGCAAAAATGAACCAATCCACGGGCATTATCTGGAGTGCGGGTAACTGATACCCGCACTCCAGTTACCGCACTGTGCATGTATATGTATACGATTTAACTCTGACACTTTTTCAACAGAAAGGTACCCAACCTATGATACAATAAATTATTGTCAATTAGAATTTCCGCTTTTCCAATCAAAATTACCAACATACCCAGTTTCGGTTTACATTTTAAAGAGAGCCCCGGTATCAAGCAGTTATATAAATATGCTAGAAATACATGTGTTTATTGTAACGATGGGGTAGTTGTGTCGGACCCGGGTCTTTCAAATTCTATTTGAAAGACCCTGGTCGAGTGTTGTTATAATAATAACATTTAAGTGGTTTTTTTCCCCATCCTTAAGCAATCAAAAATGACGATTTTTTGAGAGTGCATTTTTGCCGACACAAATAGTATATACAGTCATGTACATTCAAAATGAATTTTTACTTTTTATGCCTTTACATATTTTTTTTTGAAATTACATAGATTTATATTGTTGTTTTTTTTTTGTCTTATATATCCCTTTAGTATTGTACTTAATCGTATCGGCATTGTCCATCGTATCCCCCAATGACGTCATCCAAGGGCGACAACTTGAATACGGTCTTAAATGAAAGGGTCTATTACTTTACTTCCTTTTTTAATTCGATTTAAATACTAATATCTTCTGCTGATGTCACTGAATTAAGCTTGCACGGTTTGTCGTCTGCTAGACTCAATATTCTCTTGGCCATGTCGTTTCCGTCATCGTACCACCAACAGAAACTAATAAAATATGTGTCATGTTTAAATTATGGTAGATCTAATTGTTATATGATCAACCGCTTTAGCTTGATAATAAATACATTGGAACGTCATACCTACGTCAGTACCCTTTTTCTTTGCGAAACGTCAAATTTGCTTTGCATCGACACGCAAGACCGCTTATGAACATTAAAAAACAATAACGAAAAATGTAATAAGACTCGAACGTTTTGCCTGTCATAAATTTTGTGATAAACTTACTAAGAGTTATGCTTTAATTAATTTATTTATTTATAGATCTACTGTAACTTTTTGTGAACCGCTGGAGGTTATTCGCGCTCTACTGACTGATACTAAAATCGCTAAGACTGTAGTTACTTCCCTTAGATTAGTTTTCGCCATTTACCCGCATGCAATTATTAAAAACGTACGGGAAGTTTTATAGTGCTTTTTATCAAAACTTGACACGGACATGTTATATATCTGATTGGTACAGAGTGGTTTAATATTTAACAAGTAATAAGAAATGATAAGTACCGTAAAATGCTACGAAACAAGTGAAAATACGAATTATCAAAGTGCATATATAACCGGATAGCAAATTGCCCGTACATGTATATTTTCAAACAATAAATGCTGCTATACTGTGAAAATAATCTGTTTTAATTGACAACCATCTGTTCAACATAAGAGTCTCATCATGACTGAATTTTCCAGCAAGGTCTTTGAATATGAGAAATTTGTGAATGAAAAACTTAAAGAAGATTTGAGGTTGATACTTGAACAAAGAGATAAAACTTATCAGCAAATTGCTGAATACTTACAACTTAAAACTTCCATCGAAAAGATACAAGAAGTCAAGCTTACAGAAGGTCTAAAGACTAAAGTGGATCTTGGTTGTAACTTTTATGTCCAGGCAAATGTGCCAGACTCCTCGAGAATCTTTGTATTTATAGGATTTGGTTTCTTTTTAGAAATGACCCATGATGAAGCCCTTAAATTTATAGGCAAAAGAACAAAGTTACTAAACGTGCATGTAGAAAAATTGACAGACGATGCAGCTAAGGTTAAAGCAAATATTAGGTTAGTCCTCGAAGGTTTAAGAGAGTTGCAACATATCAGCAATGAACAAGAAACACCAAAAAGGGAAATGTAAGTATAATTACATGTATATGTATCAGTTGACCTTTTCGAAAACCTAGCTTAACACCATTTTCCGGTACGTTACGGATTTAGCTGTGGGGAATTACACCAAATGATGTGCATAACACAGTTACATGATATTTCTATTTTTCTATTATTATTTTACGGTTTAAGGTGAAAAAAATTGACGTATTTGAAAATTATCAATATTCCTTTAATATCTATTTCAATTTTTTCAAAAAATAAATTGTTTATAATGAAAATCAATAAAATTAAAACAGACGTAGTAACATCTTCCATAATAAATTAGGTTATTTTCTGCGTAAAAGTGTGTATATACTTTATTTTTTGTATGGAATTACTTATACATGTATGTTCATATAATGATATTTAATTATTTTCTTATAAAGAAATAACTGTTTTATTTCAATTTAATTTAAAAAAGGCCGAAAACATTGAGTTCGCTATTACACTCCATTAGGTGAATTCCTCAGAGCTATGTAAAGAAAGTACCGGAAAATGGCATTTAATAGCTAGGTTTTTGAATTTGTGAATACTCCATTAGTCAAAAGTCAATGATTTTTTAGAAGCAATACAAGAACTGCTAATCATTGGTGGTAGAATGGACATGTCAGATTGTTTAAAGGGGGACTCTAGATCAAGACAGGGGGGGCCTCCGTGGTTAAGGTCGGTGACTTGAGATCACAGGTCCCTCACTGCTGTAGGTTCGATCCTCACTCAGGTCGAAATCTTTCATGTGAGGAAGCCATCGGGGCATCCAGCTGGCTTACAGAAGGTCGGTGGTTCTACCTAGGTGCCCGCTTGTGCCTGAAATAATGCCCGGAGGGGCACCTAGGGACTTCATGATCATCCATCAATGAAGCTCGAAAAAATCTCGGCGGGACGCTCTAGGATGGCCTGACTTGAGTGTACGGTCGCCCATATGGGCTTTCTGGCGGCGACCTTAAATAAACGCATTAAAAAAAAGACAGGGAGATGGATCTTTTAAGGTCAATATCACTATGTTAAAAGTCTTATTATTGAACAAAATTAATTGATTTTGTGTTGAACATATGTAAAATGTGTACATGGCACAAGGTGGACTGTTTTGATTCATTTATGTTTTTTTATATTTCTTATTTTAAAACATTGTTCACACAATTAAAAGTAGACTAAATTAAAATATAGTAACTGAGTAACTTTATTTTACATAACAGCATTATACAGGTTGTTTCCCCCAACCAACAGGCTGTTTCCCTGTATTTTCTTCTAACATGGAGTTATGTTTCCAATTTAGCAGAAAAAAAGTTCTGTAACTGCAGTAAAAAGAGAGTAAAATTACCAATTAAACAGCATGGTCATTTAAGATGCTTTAGATCCTTATTGTTACAAAGTCTATGTTCATTGTGTTAGCTGGTCATAATCAAGCTTTTGTTATGTTATGTTTATTTAGTTATATGTTATGTTTAGTAAGTTAATTTAGTTATGGAAATCTTGTAAAATGTTATTTATATGATTAAACGCCTGAAAAGGCCCATGATTGAAAATAAAATTTCATAAATTTTATTTGGTGTATGATAATATCAAAATAAAAGTATGATAATTGGTTAATGTATGGACCGTGGTGAATGTTAATATCAAAATAAATTATGTTAATTAGATAATGTACATGTATGGTCAGTCATTTCCCAATATATGTCCGTCCTTTGCTGATCTATGTTCTGCCCTGTGCTGATCTGTGTTACGCCTTGAAATGGCCTGCCCTGTTGCACAGTCTGCTCTGTTCCTTAATATTGTATAAGTTATGTTTGTTAAGTCATTTTCAGAAAAAAGTGACGAATGAACATGTTATCTATTAATAGTTATATGACATTTACATTTGTAATACATTATTTAACAGCAGGGCACTCATGATGGTATGAAATAAAATTGTTAAAGCTATGATAAACAGTGTGAAGTGTACGCACTGCATTGTAATATGTGTAATGAAATGATTCCCCACAATCAGTCATTATCAAAACACCACATATTATCACAATCAGTCAACATCAAATCCCCACATACAATGATTTACCACAATCAGTCAATATCAAATCACCACATTCAATGATTTACCACAATCAGTCAATATCAAATCACCACATTCAATGATTTACCACAATCAGTCAATATCAAATCACCACATACAATGATTCACCACAATCAGTCAATATCAAATCCCCACATACAATGATTTACCACAATCAGTCAATATCAAATCACCACATTCAATGATTTACCACAATCAGTCAATATCAAATCACCACATACAATGATTTACCGCAATCAGTCAATATCAAATCACCACATACAATGATTCACCACAATCAGTCAACATCAAATCACCACATTCAATGATTTACCACAATCAGTCAACATCAAATCCCCACATTCAATGATTCGCCACAATCAGTCAATATCAAATCACCACATTCAATGATTTACCACAATCAGTCAATATCAAATCACCACATACAATGATTCACCACAATCAGTCAATATCAAATCACCAAATACAATGATTCACCACAATCAGTCAACATCAAATCAACCATACAATGATTCACCACAATCAGTCAATATCAAATCAACACATACAATGATTCACCGCAATCAGTCAATATCAAATCACCACATACAATGATTCACCGCAATCAGTCAATATCAAATCAACCATACAATGATTCACCACAATCAGTCAATATCAAATCAACCATACAATGATTCACCACAATCAGTCAATATCAAATCACCACATACAATGATTCACCACAATCAGTCAATATCAAATCAACACATACAATGATTCACCACAATCAGTCAATATCAAATCTCCACATTCAATGATTCACCATAATCAGTCAATATCAAATCCCCACATACAATGATTTACCACAATCAGTCAATATCAAATCACCACATTCAATGATTCACCATAATCAGTCAATATCAAAGTCCCACATACAATGATTCACCACAATCAGTCAATATCAAAGTCCCACATACAATGATTCACCGCAATCAGTCAATATCAAATCACCACATACAATGATTCACCATAATCAGTCAATATCAAAGCACCACATACAATGATTCACCACAATCAGTCAATATCAAATCACCACATACAATGATTCACCACAATCAGTCAATATCAAATCACCACATACAATGATTCACCACAATCAGTCAATATCAAATCACCACATACAATGATTCACCACAATCAGTCAATATCAAATCACCACATTCAATGATTTACCACAATCAGTCAATATCAAATCACCACATTCAATGATTTACCATAATCAGTCAATATCAAATCACCACATTCAATGATTTACCACAATCAGTCAATATCAAATCACCACATACAATGATTCACCACAATCAGTCAATATCAAAATATCAAATCACCACATTCAATGATTCACCACAATCAGTCAATATCAAATCACCACATTCAATGATTTACCACAATCAGTCAATATCAAATCACCACATTAAATGATTTACCACAATCAGTCAATATCAAATCACCACATACAATGATTCACCACAATCAGTCAATATCAAATCACCACATTCAATGATTTACCACAATCAGTCAATATCAAATCACCACATTCAATGATTCGCCACAATCAGTCAATATCAAATCACCACATACAATGATTTACCGCAATCAGTCAATATCAAATCATCACACTATTTAGGGGATAAGATGTGTAAGCAGTGGGATAGCTCAGTTGGTAGAGCCTCGGTACGGTATTCTGAGGGTCCTGGGTTCGAGTCTCGGTCAGGCTGCACATTTTTCTCACCCTGTGACATAAATATTTGTTATCCTAATCTTTTACTATTACTTTTATTATTCATGTTCACCCTTGGGTAGCGCCTCAGTTCATATTTGTGTCAGAAAGCTTGTATTCTTCAGTATATCCTGTCAGCAACTTGTATATCACAATTTTAAATTTACCTATTTATAAGGGTTCATTATCCCTAAAATAAAATTTTATGGATTTTTAGGGTTAATTATTTTAATGCATTCCAAAAAGGGAGCATATACATTTGTAATTGCTGTCTTGGCTGTGTTTCCAATTGTCCTTCTGTCCATGCATCCCTCACACTCACTGTGTCCATCTGTCCTTGTGTCCATGCATCCCTCACACTCACTGTGTGTCCTTGTGTCCATGCATCCCTCACACTCACTGTGTGTCCTTGTGTCCATGCATCCCTCACACTCACTGTGTGTCCTTCTGTCCATGCATCCCTCACACTTACTGTGTGTCCATCTGTTCTTCTGTCCATCCATCCCTCACACTCACTGTATGTCCATCTGTCCGTCTGTCCATCCATCCCTCACATTCACTGTGGGTCCATCTGTCTTTGTGTCCATCCATCCCTCACACTGACTGTGTGTCCATCTGTAATGCTGTCCATCCATCCCTCACACTCACTGTGTGTCCATCTATCAATCTGTCCATCCCTCACACTCAAGTCTGAAGAAAACTATTACAAGTATTGAATGAATTGAATCAAACTTCACACAGTGATAGAAAACAATTGACGGGAAGTGCAGAGTTCAAGAATCATTACTTTATCTTCCTTTGATTTTTTACTTAACTCCCTGAAGCTAATGCTCTCGGGGTGTTTAAATTTAAAATTATCAATGATATTTCATTGGAACTTTACACTGTTACATAGACAAGTAAGAGAAAGTTAACCCTTAAAGATCTTCAACTGTACAGTGTTTAGTTTTTTTAAATTTGTGAAATAAAAAAATTCTTTTTACTTTCAGATTTTGAAAAGGCAACAATGAAATAGCAGACAAGAGGTTTATGGACAATGATTAATGATGTGTACACAAGGATTTGATAAAAGACTTGACAGTTTAAAATTTTATTGCTATTCATTAGTTTTAATCCTTAACACTCAATTTTAAATGGACTTGTACATGCTTCAATCTGGACATAA